CTTTGAAATGAAGAAAACCGCATCGAAATCGGTCCATCCGTTTGAGAGCTACAATGCCACAGACAGACACACACACACAGACAGACATCGACGTCAAACTTACAGCACCCCTCTTTTTGCGTCGGGGGTTAAAAATGATTTAATTCATTGAAGGTACCTTTTAAATTAAAAACTAATATACATTCAATTGCCTGACTCTACGAAACAACTATCATTACTAAGTGGTCTTCTGTGCCTTTCTAAAGTTTGCTACAAGCACGTATTACGAGTATCTTATTATAGAAGAAAAGTAAAGAAGGAAGTGAGACTCGATTCTCATATATTTCGATTCTATGTTCGATTATACAAGTATTTTATCCCCTTCACAGTGGTTCTCAGTGAAACAGCGTGAAAATACTTGTCTCGGTCTGCTTCAGAGGAAAAGCGTCGACGTTTAACTAACGCGCTTAATCTTAAACTAGCGATAAATAAATAAGTGATCAATCGATGCCTATTTCCATTCTAAACTAAATTATAATTTAGAGAGAAAATGAAAGAAGTAAAATTGGAATTACATAAGCAATCCGGTAAGATATAGTTATTGAAAGATACACTACCGTTTAGTTATCAGACGGTTACTATAAATAAAAAAGTTTGTATGTGTGTTTGTTTGTTACTTCTTCTCGCTAACGGTTGGATAGATTTAGATGAAACTAGCATCGCCTGCAGCGCCGTCCGCGCTCAGGTGACCAAAAACAAATTCTTAGGTTTTACATATTAGTATACTATTACAATGCATTTTTTGTGTTTTTGTATTTTTTCCCAGAAATGAGATATTTTCCCACGGTAAAAAGTATCCTATATATTGACCTGGATAACCAGCTATCATCATACCAAATTTCATCAAAATCTGTCCAGTGGTTTTCTCGTGATGCGGTAACGACAAACAGACAAAATTTTTAAAAACTATAGATTCAGACTCTGTATCGATAATAATGTCTATTTCAATTAGATTTCAAAAAAAATATTTAATGTACAGATTCGACTTAGTTAGAATTTTATTATATGTATAGATTTGATACACAGACAGATATATGATTGAAGTAACATATAGGTAGGCTACTAGACACCTAGGAAAGAACCTGTGCGAAAGCCACTAGTATATCTATATTTTCAACAATGCCAACTCATATTGAACTTATACAAAAGTCCAAAAGATAATTAAAAACAATGTTAATTTGTAAACGAAGCCGTTAACAATAGTTAGTATTACATAAAACAGAAAACTAAATTTGTTTTTAAAAACCAACCAAGCTTAAAAAACCTATAATGGTAGTTACCTACCCATATAATAAGCGTAAACTTTCAAGTGCGTGTGACACAAAATTGCCATCATTATACAGCATACGTATAAATATAAGAAGGTAGTGATTTTGTTTCACTTAATGTGGAAAGCTCTCTAAGTAGATAATTTATAAGATTGCATAATATCTCGCTTGCTATGTATGTATGGCAGAAATAGCTACCTAACAAAATATTTATCAAACATTTTAAAATGCATAAGAATTCGCAGAAAATTGTGATTTTGCAAGAATGTAATATTCTAAATATTGAAAAATTATGATATTAATTTAATATCTACCTACTTTGGTAACACATATGTAGGTGCTATCAAGTGTGTGCCTCGGAGAGCACCTTAAGTTATCGTTTCTGCACTTCTCTCATCGGTAGTACCTACAGATTTGTCGCCCCTTCGAAATATAAGAGTCAAAGAAATAGATAGCGCACGTTTTAGTTGCGCCTTCACTTATATATATATATATATATATATATATATATATATATATATATATATATATATATATACTGTCCACTAAAAAAATATGAAAATCGCTTTACAATTGGCGAAAATATTATGGTATGTTGGTATGGTATGGTATGTTCGGGCTGTTTTCCGCAACTCGACGACTATGCGCCTATTTTGCGTGTGTAAAGCTAGCTACGAAGTTTATGTTATGGATACCAGATATTGATACACTACACATATATAACTTTAAATACATACATATTATAAATATAAACACCCATGACTGGAGTACAAACATTCGTGCTCATCACACAAATGAATGCCCTTAGGGGGATTCGAACCCGCAACCGCTGGTATAGCAAGTAGGGTTACCACACACTGAGCCAAACGTGTCGTCTATTGCTATAATATTATTGAATGCAACTTACAAGTAACGAGGATCTTGTAAAAGAGTCTTTAGAGTTGTAAAGTAGACAGACGTTGCGGCAAAGCTATAATTTATCTTATAATGTCAAACAATCAACTATTACAACATTAGTACCTTCACTTTCTTTAATATTAATATTTTATAACCTAGTAGAGTTTAGATACGACAGACTGCTTCAGGCAACACAAATTATTGAAATTTCCTCACTCTTTCAATACTTTGCGATGTTTAATTTTCATTAAAAAAATAGTATATAAATAATAATTTTGGAAAAAAAATCCAATTTCTATTGCCGAAAAACCTTACTTCAACTATTAGTGAAATATGTATGTATATACTGTATATATGTTTATAAGAAGGGAAGCAATTATACATGAATAAACTACGCGAACCAAGCCGCGGGAATACACTAGTTTCATATATAAAGATATTAGTGTCGATTATTTAAGCGTTCCAAAAGATATCCTTAGTGCACTATCAGTTTTCATGATTATTGATCATAACTGTGATAGATAGTAGCATTAACGCCTTGTTTCCGCTCTGCTGACTGCTTTGATCACATACATTTTCTTAAAGGTCAATATCCTATTGATATATCCTCTAACTTCCTGTTACACGCAACTTCATTTGTAAAGAATATTTTTATTGTTCTACATATTAGAGTGGAATAAATAATTATGACAAGCTGTCACAAGTTAGTGCGGATTTTTTTTTTCGATCTTAAAAAAGAAGTGCGCAATTTGGGTCTATTTTTTTAATCGTGTATGCTACCAGCACTGAATTTACGCTAGGGGCACTCGGGACTAGTGCCCAGGGCGGCAAATTTTAGGGGCGGCAACATTCGGAGGGTGAGAAAAAAAATTTCTTCGCGTTATCGAAAATGCTTTTTTTATTTTACAAAAAATGAATAGTAAAAAAAGATTAACTAGTAGGTACATTTTTCGAAAAAATGATATCATTTACAAAGTATTTTTTTGTATTTTTCAAAAATATATTTTTTTTTTTTTAACTTTCACATTTTATTCAAAATTTCGATAATAGGGCGGCATTTTTTACTATGCCCAGGGGCGGCACTAAGGTTAAATCCGGCACTGTATGCTGCGTAACACGCACGCTAAATTTTGAAAAGATTTTTAGTATTTTTATATGTGTATTTATACCTTAAAAGTGGCTATATAAAAAATTTCGAAAATTAAACGAGTAAAAAAGCACATGACTTTTGAATATTATATTAATATATTACATTAATTATATTATAACTTAATGTAAAAAACATTATTCAGAAAATAATTGTAATAATGATATGAATATTAAACAAAACGTGTAGTGCAGATTCTACATGAAACATATAAGCTCTAAAAAGTCATATACTATATACCTTTTTTAAGTTTTTATCTACTCTTGTCCCTTATATTTACAAAAGTTTGGATGCGGTAGTTAAGTTTAAAACTGCTGATCATGTACTGAAAATTGTTTTACTAAAAAAGCTCACTGAGCTTTTATGTCAAAGCAGCATAATATATTTTTTATCCCCACATTATATCACATGGTGTCTAACTAAACAATGTGGGATATTATCTATATATATAAAAAGCAAAAGTAATTGAACTGATGTATCAACGCACAGGCCAAAACCTTAGAGCTAGAAAATTGAAATTTCGTACACGTATTCCTCATATGATGAAACCATCCACTAATGAAGGATTTTTTTAAAATTCAACCCCGAAGGAGATGAAATAGGGGATAAAAGTTTGTATGTAACTTTTTATTCCTTGGACATATTAGCATAAAATTTAGTATGAATTGAGTACGGCAAAAATAATGAGCGTTTTCCAAAATTCAACCCCTAAGAGGATAAAATGGGGGATGGAACCTACTTTTAGATACCTACTAAAACCTACTTTTACTATACCTAATAAAACCTACTTTTTAGAGATTTTATTTGTAGTTTTAGCGCGAGTGAAGCCGCGGGTTCTGCTAGTTTATTATAAAGGACGGTCAAACTAGAACGGCTTGCTGTATTTTATATTCTTTTCGTAAGTAAATATAACACTCTTCAATAAATTGATTATGATTTACTACACTTTCTCAATAATCAAAAAAACAGGAACTTAAATCATTATTAAAAAAAAAGTTATGATTATAGCAAAATCATAACTTCCAATTCTTAACTAAAAAATGTACAATGTATTTATATATTAAAATAAATAAAAATAAAAATAGCTTTATTTTTCCTTACACTTTTAAATTATAAAAACAGAAAATCTTATAGATAAGGTAGGCAACTTATAAAACTTAGACGAAAAGCACACTTTCAAAAGGTAGATAGATATTGTATATATTATTTATTTATTTATTAAACTTTTTTAAAGTGAAACGCGTTTTTTATATCACATATAGACATGTCATTGTTCCGTGTGTGTGTATGCGTGAGTGTATAAGTTATATAGTTTTGTATAATTTATATATTATACATACATAAATAATAATTATTTATTTGCGTGTCCATGTTGAGACATGAATCGATATGAAAATAAGGTTATTGTTTATATGCATGTAACTGTTCTCCGATATCCCAGCCATCTAATTAATAATGCGATGGCAACGCATGCTTCTTCCGCTCCGCTGGTTTTGATGCAATTTTTCTATTGCATACGCGAACTGCTATCACTTAAGCAAAGGAATTTGACACAATTTCATGTTTTACTATTTTTTTGCTGAGATTGTAAAAAAAATTACTATTTAAGTCAGTGTGCAATCATTTCGCTTAATACATTTCCTTGATTAAATTTTCGATTTCAACGTTATCGTGTCTGGTTTTACGTTGACTGAGGTCTTAGATTCAGTCCCTATATGGGCCAAATGGTTGTAAAAGTTGTATTTCCAACTCAATATAAGTATGTATCTGGTTACAAAATATTTTTAATAGTACAAGTTATTATAAGCGAGAAACGTACATGAATAAATTATATTTACTTAATATTCATTCTATTATCTATATAAATTGCTCATTTGTAGCATTACTCTGTATTTGTATTGACCTTTATTTACTATAAATACCTATAATATCGATTAAAATATACGCTTTAAAGACTCACCCGAAATTGCCAGGATAGCAAACAGCATAACGTTTACAAACATGCTGTCCTGATTTCCCAGTGAAGTGTTGGCCGCCATTGAAGATAACTTCAGAACAGCATGGGGAAGAACATCTGCCGCTATCAGAGCACTCCGTCAGGCAACAGGATCTTGGCTCCTCACCCTCGAACCAGCGCTCATCACAGGGCAAGGAGTAACGCCACTCAGGACTTGGCATGCGATAATTGTACCTATTATCACATGTCATATCGGGACATCTCTCCACATAGGCACCAGCAAGCTGTTCCATATATTGCTTATAAAGCCGCTTCTGTCTTTGGCTTTGCGAAACATGAAGACGTAAGACGTTTAGGAAACACATTTTTCAATAAAACGATCACTCTCAGCCAATGATCGAATAGATATAATAATAGCGCGCCATGAAGGAGTTTTGAGAGAAATTAAATAATATTTTACTGTCATCAGCGTCTCCGGTTCGTTAGATAGGAATTTTGTCGCATTTTCTAAGATAATTTACCAGATGTATCATTACAAAACTTTTATTTTTCATTAGATAAACTTTCTCGATAAAAGTTAACAATGAAATGTTTTACACTGAAGAACATATTTACATGTTAATGTAAAGTAGCGGTCAGATGAGAGGCAGCGCGCGCGTCTACAGACGAACTGTGCGACTCGAACGACTATAATCGGTTTACGTTAAATTAACTCGCATTTCCCCGAGAAGCGGAAAAAACGGAACCTCGATGAAATGCGGCATAGCTGCAACAAAATAGTGTCAAAAGCCGTATCTAATTTAGATTTGGTTGGAAGCTAGTTTGTTATCATTGGAACTTTAAATATGATTATAATAATTTTTGATTACAAAAGTACCTAAAAGCTATTCAAATTTGTATGAGATCACCCTTGATGAAAATTCTTAATTGACGAAGACATGATATCCCCTTTATAAGTCGGTCAAAAATAAAATAATGTTGATGTGCATCATCTATACATAATATTATGTTATACTAGCGATTACTTCAATATAAACTTTGCCAACTTTAGTCTAGGCAATGAAGAATTAGGCACTTTCAAATATGTACTTAATATAGACATATATTAAATACATTATTACATACAATGCCTTTACCAATTTTTTCGTCCATTTATATCCATACTAATATTATAAATGTGACAGTGTGTTTGTTTGTTTGTCCTTCTTGTACGTCAAAACAGAGTGACGGGTCGGCGTGATTTTTTGTACAAAGATAGTTGGAGAGCTGGAGAGTAGCTACTCTTTACCGCGGGAGATGATCTCATTCCCACGGGAAAACACGTTATAATACAACCCAAAAAATATTTATGATCAGAATTACTTGAAACTTGGTATTAATGCTCTTCAATACAATTAATATTAAATAGATAGGTACACGTTTTAGCATTTTTCAAATAGGGGATGAAAGTTTCTATGAAACCTACCTTTTTAGAGATTTTTTTATAGTTTTAGCGCGAGCAAAGCCGCGGATTCTACTAGTAATGTATATATTTATTTAACGAGACTTTACAATACTTTTTTACAGCAACAATTTAATCTCATACCGAATAAAATATCCTAGCATTGCATGGTGCAAACAGCTAAACACACGAAGCTTGTTTTGGAGTTTAGGCGAAACGAGGTTGCTAGTACGCTACCTACTAAAAGCAAACCTGCCTGCTTAGACTAAAAGAAAATTTCTGAGTCTGGACTACGGAGTAGAATGGAGACATCGCGAGTCTCGTACAGAAAAAGCTCTAAGCATGAAGATCGAAAATCGAAAAGACCTATGCATACGTAAAGGTATTCCCTATGTATTATAATAATATATAACAATATAATAAATTTCCGCCAACCCGCACTTGGCCAGCGTGGTGGACTGTGGCCTGATCCCCCTCGTATTGAAGGGAGGCCCGTCCCCAGCAGTGGGACGTTAAAAAGGGCTAAATATACTATAAAATAAATTTGAAAAAGACCTTGTTCCACACAAAATATTTTTTATTTATTACTCGCAAGTAGTACGACGTACGCTTCGCTATATGTGTGTGTTAAGTACTCAAGCCATAAACTATGTGTGTAGTGTATACTAAATTACATCCAAATTCGCAGAGGAAAGTAATAAAAATGAACAATGAGTAGAGCTTCTTATTGTAGGTATCTAATAAAAATATCAGTGTGGGAATAACATAGTAGGAAAATAAAGATCTCATCTTCTAATTTCCTACATAATTAATGAATAATTTCTAATTATAATCAAGAAAAACCAGTACATAATACATGTACCTATATGTATATAATTTTGTGAACAATTGTATTTGAATTTAATGTACGAGTATCTGTGAATGCATAAATAAAAATTAATAAAGTTTTCTTTTTGTTAAATAACAATAATCAATCAACATTTTTCGTAGATTACATAACAAAAGATATTTTAATTTTTCATGTTCCTAGTTGAAATTGTCCCTAGTATAATATTTATTATCATTCTTTAGTATATTTTGATGCTTACTAACTAACTAATAAATTCATAATAAGTTTATTATAAAATTAAAATCGATTTTTCTGTAAAAAATATCGGTGAAAATTTAGTATTTTTACTGTTTAGCTTTTTACTAACCGAAACGATTTATTTATTTTGATTATATTTTTATCAAGTACATTTTACAGTTTGCCAAAGACACCTGTTATTATTATTCTAAGCTTTTTTGAACTTGTTACATGCCTACTGTTTATAATAAATTGACTTAATATGACTGCTGAAGCCTTGTTGCATTTTGCAAACGTAAAATAAATTTCAACTTCGTAATAACATTATGATTATCTATTATCTGATGCTGAATCTATATTTTCCTATTACTACATCGATATCTTCAAAGCTACAAAGCGACTGGGGAATGGTTAGTAGGAAGAGTCAAGTGGTAGAAGGGAATAATATGCATGTGATTTAAACAACGGTGAATTTTTTTTTTTTGAAGTGCTTCTATTCTAAAGGCAGGATAGTAAATTCATGTAAGTCGTCATCGATATGATCACACGACGTGTTAAAACTAGAATACTCACTCTCAGACTGCCGATAGATTTCAAAACCAGATAAATGTAAACAGTTTTAATTTACAAATTTAAATTTAAGATCAAACAGTTAATTTGAATATCTAAAAATAACGACTGTTTGTTTACTCACTGCTTTATTTATGTAATTTCTTTTTGATTAAGAAAATAATTATTAAAAACTGCAAATATGTGGGAAATTCAAAGTTGAAACGCACTCCATTGGTCCGATCGAATGTGACGTCAAAGTATTATTATAACAGAGCTAAATTAGCGATTTTGTTCGCAACAAACTAAAGTTGTCATTTTCCTATGTATGATACTTTGACGTCACGCCAAGCGCGCGAAATGGCGAGTGATTAAAATATCCGTATCAGTATGATATTTAAAAAAATATATACCAAATATTAGTTTTTTGTAGCTGAATATTTTTTACAATTATATAACGATGTTAGCTATTGTAAAATTTTTTTTAGAAAAACACGCATATTTCCTATGTGTTACCCGTTTTTTTTTTTTTTTAACGTTGGGAAATGCATTTACGCACGAGGTGTGGGACTCACCGGCAAAGCCAGTACTACCCACTAAACCCCAACAAAACCTTCCCCCGTCTTAATGGGGTGTCGCAGGATCGCTTACGCATTCAACTACGACGCCCCGACGGCAGGTCTGCCGAAGCAGACCACAACAACCACGGGGTTGCTCCACAGTCCACTCTGCTATCAGAGAAGTACCAGGAGCAACCCGCATGGTACACTGCCCTCCGAAGAGGGCCACCTCCCACCACCCACGGAAGTGGGCCACCTCCCTGTGCGTTTCTTGGCTTCGCGCCCGGTTGGGTTGCCGGGCACTACTGAGCCCCCCACCACGACAAGGTGAACGCACGTTGGGGGGGATGTGTTACCCGTGCGCGCGCGTCTATTGAAATTTAAATTTTGAAACTATTAATTGAAACCTAGCGGCGCAGTGACAGTTTTATCATGACCAAGACCGCAGGTTACTGAACAAAATTGTAACTGTAACATACGCACACCTCCATACATATTCATAGACCAGACATGAGCTACAAAACGACACTATAAAAAGTCACTCATGCAAGCTAGGCATAAAAAATAATAAATAACTTTCAGATATTAAATGAATTGAATAAAGTTGATATTCAAATATCGCTAACAAAGGTTTTTGAAATAACTAAAATAAAAAATGTTATCATAATAAACCCCACATATATTGGAAGCATTTAATTTTGTACGTATACCTAATATGTAAATATGTAATAACAAATATTATAATAAAATATTCGATGAACGAAGTAAAATTATTTTTGCTGAAATGGAACAAAGCCAATATGCCAATGAGCAATGAATTCAGAATTACGCTTGACTGTGAAATGTGAATTTGACAAATGACATTTCATTTTGTCAACTTTGCTATTTCGCGCCAATTTACCACATCAGCTGTAAAAATAATACTCATCATTATTATAATAACATATAAGCCATATTCTAACGAATTTTTAGTAATAGCTCAATGTAAGTTAGTTAAAAATGGAAGAGATTAATGAGCTGGAACAATTAGATGAGTTGCTGCGTGCAGATCTTAGTGAAGAAAGCCAAAATACATTAACAAGTGGTTCAAACATCCGCGAAGTGAATATATTTGAATCAAACAATGTTATTGAAGAAGACTTGAGTAAAAATATAGCAACAAAATCTGCTGTTCATAATGGAGATACTGATTCGTCCGATGATGAAGAAAAAAGGAATTACACCGAACGAAAATATAACGACTATGGAAGTCAAATAAAGAAAAAATTAGATCAGCAAGAAGAAGATCAAATAGACCGTAGAATAGAATTTCAAAGTAGACTTCGGCAGGCAAATGCTGAAGTAAAACATGGTTATAAAGGTTCCTTTTCTAAAAAACCTGAACCAGATTCTGATCTCATCAAAAACAAATTTTGCGTGCCTGAAATTAAAACCAAGGCATCCTCTGATGTATTCAGTGATCCTATATTTGGTATAAGGATAACTAAGCCTTTGATATCTAGCAGTGCATTATTAGAACGAATGCAAGGACGAGAAGCTGTAAATATGATCAGATTGAAGAGATATGTAGAAAATGAAGATTTGTCTAAAGATTGGGTAGTAGCTGGAGTAATTGTAAGAAAAAGCTCTGCTAAAAAATCACAAAAAGGAAATAATTTTATTGTGTGGACACTGAGTGATTTAAAAGATGACTTAAAAACTATGTCTATGTTTTTATTCCGCAAAGCATATAATGATCTATGGAAAACAACAGAGGGGACAGTAGTAGCCGTATTAAATCCAAATGTATTAGATAGATCTCAAAATTCAGCAGATCAAGCTTGTTTAAGTGTGGAAAGCCCTGACAGAGTAATGATTCTAGGACAATCAAAAGACTTAGGCTTATGTAGGAGTAAGAAAAAAAATGGTGAACCATGTACTGCATTTGTAAATTTAAGCCAATGTGAACACTGTATATATCATATAAAGCAAGAATATCAAAAATATTCTCGAAGGCAAGAACTCCAATCCTCAACAATGGGTAAAGGTCTTGTTAATTTACAGAACAAAGTATATGGTAAGAGTACATTTATTTATGGAGGCAAATCATATGCAGCTCTACCGACCAGTAATCACAAAAAAGTTAAAGATAAAGATCAAAACAGGTTAATGTCTTTAAGTGACTATTTTAAATCAGAGGGAGAGAGTTTGATGACTAATAAAGTTCCTTATGGGGCCGGCCCACTAAGAAATAATAATGACATATTACATAGCCCTACAACTCAAAAATTAACAGATTCACAGAGACTAAGTAATTTATCGAATTCTAACACAAACAATCAATCATTTTCAAGCTCAAAAAGTCAAAGTTTAGCCCAAAAAGTAGCAAACTCACCAACCTTAGGTAAAGGCTTTGGACTAAAAGGCAGTGGGGTAGTGGATTTAAACATGTCATATGGTCAAAAATCTGCAGAGAAGGCAAAACTAAATGCTATAAGACTGATCCAAGAAAAGGGAGGCTTAACAAAACAAGATCCCAATAATATAAAAGGTACTCAAATTGGTAAGAAAAGAGCGTTAGAAAAGTTAAACTCTTCGGGTGATGATGAAAATGATTCTAAAAAAACAAAACTAAATGAAGACGGAACCTCTAAGCCTAATAAATTAAAAGGAGTAATGTCAGAGAGATTTAAAAAGATATTGGAAGCATCATCTATCCATCAAAATTTAATAAAACAACATGAGGATGACGAACAAGAGAAATATTTTAGTAAACTGGAGAAAAAAGAGGCAATGGAAGAAAAAATGCTTAATACATTTAAACTAGCTTGTAAAGCAGTTAGATGTGCTAAATGCAAATACACAGCTTTTTCTGCGGCACAAATCTGTAAAGATGAGAGACATCCTCTTAAAGTACTGGATACTTTTAAAAGGTTCTTTAAATGTGCAGATTGTAACAATAGAACTGTTTCTTTAGAACTTTTGCCTTTACATTCGTGTAGCAAGTGTAGTGGGTCACGGTGGGTAAAAGCACCTATGCTTAGAGAGAAAAAGACAATGACAGCCTCAGACAGGTTATCCATTAGAGGTGAAGAGGAAACGTTTATTGGTGGTGCAGTGACTTCCGGTAAAAATATAGACTTATTGGTCCCAGAGTAATAACAAAAAAAAAATTGTTGTAATTTAATAAGAATTTTAGTTTTAGTAATTAAGTTAAAATTGTGGCTGTCTATAGTCTATAAAATATATTTTTTTAATAAGTAATGCAAGTTTCAACATTTATAAAAAAATACATGCACTTACTGAATTTATAAAATAAAATTTGTAATATGAATATTATTTTTTTTATTTAATTTGATGAAAATTTCCTTATTTTATTCCCTGTTTGATCAACGATAGATAAAAAAATAGCTTTTGAATGAGTTACTTTACTAATTTCATCTGACTTTTTCACTTTTAATGCGAAACATATTTTGAATTTCATCTATACTAATATTATATATAAAGAGGTAAAGTTTGTGAGGTTGTAGGGGGTAATCTCTGGATGTACTGAACCAATTTAGATGAAATTTGGTAAGAAGATTATTTGAGACCCTGGGAAGGACATAGGATACTTTCATCCCTTAAGTTAAAGTTTGAATAGGGAAACAACCTAGGGACAAACAGCAAAGCGAGGGCGAGTCACTAATAATCTAAATAAAAAAAATGTAACTAAATATTGAAAAATAAAAAGTAATCAATAATTTATTACTATAATTTCATATAAAATATATGAGATACTTATGTTAAATAATGTTAATGTAATATTTTAACATACTTATGTTAATGTAATATTTTAACATGACAATAAAATATGGCATTTTAAAAACTGATGCTGAATTTTAAGTAAATGATGTAGTAGAAAAGGTACAAAAATAAAATACAAAATGAAAATAAAGCATAATATAATTTTATTATGAAACTTCCAGTCAATAACACTGAACCATTCCATAAAACACAATGTGTCTGATTTCATACAAGACGAGTCACAATTTTACAGAAGCACAATTCATTGCAAGATGTCGTACTGTAAAATTGGGACCGAGTGGGTGCGGGATACATGGCTTTAATAATTTACACAGCCTTTGATATTATTTTCTACATTACAAAACAGATGGAACTAAGACGCGACACCAATATGTACCTGTGTCATAATGTATTTACAAATTTAATGGCAGTGGTCCGGAAATCAAATTCACATATGAACATTTACAATTGCATATCAGTCCTTTGTTTTATAAAAGCTTTATTAGTTACTGTTATATAATGATATTTCCATTGTCATCACACTAAACTTTGTCTGTATGTTTTTAATAAAAACATGGCAGATAAGTAATAATCTGTATATTAAAAAAATATATCACTATTAATTAGAATGTTGCTACTATTATTTATATTTACTTGTACTAAGCTTGTAATAATAGATTTAGTCAATAGTTTAAGAGATCAAATTCGAATCTGCAACATTGCGAGATATAATTGACTCAATTACTACTGAGCTGTTACCGCTTTTCCTTACATTGAATATACCATCAGAAGTTAACATTATGACTAATAACTGAGCTGCGAATAAACAGTAATATTACATAACTAATAAATGTAAAACATGAACACTGAAACAAATAAGTCAACCATTCACAACAACCTAAAAATTAATAATTTAAAAGCAAACTATTGATATATAAACACCAGATGGCGATACTTGTTTGCAAATAAAAAAAACGAAAATGAAATGTAAAAAAATAAACAAAAGACTCAGTCATTACATACTTAAAAAAAACAATAGTTATTCAAACCTACATCCAAATTAATAAAAACATATAGTATATGAATATTATCTTACTTCAGTACCACAATCTGGTGCAGGAGTACTTATAAATTCATTCAAAACAGTATGGGGCTTAGAGAGCTAAGCTTTTCCAAATATTCAATACATAGATGCAACAATTTTATATTTGGCTGTATTGAATTGGCTAATAACAAAAAGACCACTGCCGTGGGTGCATCCATTGTGTGTAAATACACAGACTGTAAATTTGTATTGGACCGTAAGACTGCTCGCGATATAGAATTACAATTCAAATAAATAGTAACTTTAATTAAATAACAAATCTGATATTCTAATTAATTGAGATTACGTTTTATAAAAATATGTGATGTTGTATACAAGTTAAAAGAAATAACTAATCCATGTCTAGAACAGTTTTACAGTCCAAAATAGACAGTAAACAATCTTTCAGTCCGTATAAGTCCATTATAGTCCGTGTTCTCAGTACAAAAGTAGCAAACATAATCATTCCCACTCGGTGGTGGCTGGTGGCTTCGGGGTGAGGTCGTAGAGCACGCGCGAGATGCCGGGCACACTCATCAGCTCCTTGCGCATTCGGTCCACCACCTGTGAATTTGTTCATTTTGAATATTTTAATATTGTTTAAAAGTTATCGTCAGTATAAAGGTGTAACATATATACTTTCGCATAGATACAAATTAGTTTTATAAACATTAACATAGTGAACTACATCCATAGTCATCTAACGACGTCTTCCTTTCTAGAATATGTACCCGACTAGCCATACTTACTTTCATATGACAGTCCAGAAACAGATTTAAAGCTGTCTGTAAAATTGACATTTGACAACCCTAGCAAGCTTCACACTTCCGTTCAACCAATGGACGATACCTATATTATGTATGTATGTATATGTATATAGTCACAGTGTGTACTCACATCCTGCGGCATGGCATCAGAACCGGGCAGGGCGGCGACGCCGGTCATGAAATCGTTGGTAATGAAGGGGCGGAGCACGAGCGAGCGCTGACAGGACGGCGCGCGCAGCCCCGCGTCGCGGTCGAAGTGCACCGGGATCAGCACCACCGGCATCTGCGCCACGCGGGACCCCATGCCGCTCGACATCAGTATCTGGTTGAATAATAATATGATAATATTAAATACATTTGATTTCACAATAAAAAAATGTACTCAGTCTAATATTTAACAATAGGCAAATATATTATAAACTTATTTTTTTAAAATACAAAATATATAAAACTCAGAAGTGATAAATAACATTATTACATTACTAGCGACTCACCCTCGCCTCACTCGGGCTTGTCCCTGGCTTATTCCCCATAAAAACTTTCATCCCTTAAGGGATGCTTTCCGGGATAAAAAGTATCATAATACGTCCTTCCCAGGGTCTCAAACTATCCCCCCCCCCATGTGCGTTTACCATGTCGTGGTGGGGGGGCTCAGTAGTGCCCGGCAACCCAACCGGGCGCGAAGCCAAGAAACGCACAGGGAGGTGGCCCGCTTCGGTGGGCGGTGGGAGGTGGCCCTCTTCGGGGGGCGGTGTACCATGCGGGTTGCTCTTGGTACTTCTCTCATAGCAGTGGACCGTTGGAGCAACCCCGTAGTTGTTGTGGTCTGCTTCGGCAGACCTGCCGTCGGGGCGTCGTAGTTGAATGCGTAAGCGATCCTGCGACGCCCCATTAAGACGGGGAAAGGTTTTGTTGGGTTTTAGTGGGTAGTACTGGCTTTGCCGGTGAGTCCCACACCTCGTGCGTAAATGCATTTCCCAACGTTAAAAAAAAGGGTCTCAAACTATCTTCTTACCAAATTTCATCTAAATCGGTTCAGTAGATCCAGAGATTACCCTACAGCATCACAAACTCACAAACTTTACCTCTTTATAATATTACTATAGATACAAATCTCATAAATTGACATTGATTATAATATATAATAACTATGGCAAGTAGCAATATGAATTTTTTACATGTTATAAAAGATATCTTCTACTGGTCAATCAATGACCTATCTCTTTCATGTCTGTGCTCAACTGGCACGCTTTGAAATCATTAATTGACAAGAAACTTGAATTGCAAATATACCTTTTTACAATCCATACATATAATTTATATTTAAGCCTCCATTGAGAGGATCATAAGTTAAGATCATGAGATGTAAAAAATAAAAATAGATTAATCAAAAATATTTGTAAAATATAATTATCACATCTCAACCTCAAAAAAGAGTATCGATAGCCATATATTTAAAATAAAATATATATTTTTTAAGACCAACATTGTCCAGCATTGCTTATTACATACAGATACGTACATTTTATATTTAAAATTTACATTACCTGTGTAGCAAGATCGTCTGCCTGGCGTATAGTTGAGATGACCTGCTGCGACAGGAACGTCGGCGTGATATCTGTCACTTGTTCTTTAATCAGACCACCGAACGCGTAGCACACCCTGACAAAGAGATTTGAGATATTTATTATTCAGATGAAATTAAAAAAAATACCATTAAGAGGGCACCGAGCTTTTTATTATAGTAGGACGAGAGCGGGATATAGAAAAGTATAGTTTTGTTATTATCAAAAAACTGATGAACTTCCTAGAATTATTTACGCTGCACTAAGGGTTTATTTTGTTTTTAGAGATCATTTTGGTTTTTTTTCTATCGAGAAAATTACAAGTAATCGTGTTTCTAAAAAGTGTACGATTTATAGAATAAATCCTTAAACATCCTACATATTACTTGCATAATTAAAGTTTTAGTAATAACAATACAGCAAGGGATCAAACGAACGCAATTATTTCGTAGTTGCCTCAGTGAGCTCTTAAGGAGGAAAAAATCTTTTTTTATGTTTAATACAGGAGCATTCTTGAGACATACATAAAATCTCTGTAATTAAACAAAAGACATTCAAATCTGTTAACTTAGGCCATGGCATGGCGATCCTGCGACGCCCCATTAAGACGAGGGAAGGTTTTGTTGGGTTTTAGTGGGTAGTACTGGCTTCACCGGTGAGTACCACACCTCGTGCGTAAATGCATTTCCCAACATTAAAAATAATAATAATAAAAAAGTAAAATTACAAAAGATAATAAATAAATATCAAAAAAGATATATTAGGATTTTTTTAAATATTCTAAGTGAAGAGAAACAATGCAATGTATTCGTAAATCAAGTTTGCGTAATTTTACTGATTATAATTGATTAATCAGCAATCAGATGATGGGTTTGTAGTGTATACTCATAGATGGCGCTTTCACTTTTTATTTTATGTCTATCACTGTTGAAATCACTGAGATTTCTTTAATTATGATGGATGAATTTTACAATAGTTAAAATGATTTAGTTTTTACGCATTTATGAAATAAAATGGCTTGAAAGTTTGCGGACCAACAACATCTATTACCTATTCAGGTCCAATTTCTTTGCATGTCATCTGTGCTTAGGCACCATGTAACATACACAAAACAAAAAACACCTGAATCGAATATTATCTTGTTTAATCTTTTAAAAGTCGGCCATACATATCATAATAGTAATTGTATTACTATTTATCATTATCATTAACTAATAAAATCCAAATCAATAAATGGTACCTTTAATATTTTCTTACATTTACGCGAATATTTGACATTTTAAATAAAACTATATTTTCGCGGATTTATATCGATTTCTGCTTTCCGACGTTTCGAATGTTTTACAGCAATCATGGTCACGGGAGAGACTAAGTTTAGACCTCTGAAAGGTCATTATATAGTTGTTACAGACTTGTGCTTAAACACACAATTACAAAATGAAAACGAAAATACAAAAATGGCACCAAAGTACCTTACAAATAGCGCCAGTTAATTTTAATTATATCATAATTTTAATTTATAATTGGATATGGCTATATTATTTATTTCATTTTAGCTGTTATTATTATAATTATTACATTTTTTTAAATATATTAATTAGTAAATTGTTACCTGTTAACGTTGTGGCAAACCCGTGGTATGATTTTGGCGAGGTAATGCATGTCCTGCCAGTCGGGCGGGTAGCGCTCCGTCGACAGCGCCACGGCATAGCTGTATGTACGGCAGTCGCCTGGGAATATACGAAAATATGACTTAAATTATAATGACCTTACTACCTACTATATATAAATTTACTGCCTCGGTGGTGTAGTGGCTAGCATGTACGGTGCGTGTATGAATGTGTACACGCGTAAGGAGTAAAACTTCTGTAGGTTATCGGTACTCTTTATGAAATTCAATTTATGTTTTAAACAATTAGGATCGGTGAGATGCTAAAAATATGTGTGTGTACTTATGTACGCACTAGGGGTGTGCGAATAATTCGAACTTACGAACTATTCGTTCCGAATCGAATATTAATATTCGATTCGAAACTCGAATCGAATAATTCGAAAAATGTCGAATAATTCGAAAATTTCGAATAATTCGTAAAAATTTCGAATAATTCGAACATGTATTGCAAATTTTAAAAATGAGCAATTGTTTTCTCTGGGTTATTGATTTTAAACGAAAAGTATATTATTCGTAAGTAGACTATTTTGACACACGATTTGAAGGAATTTAAATGGATACAATTGAAGATCCAGAGATATTTCATTAATTCGCGAATTATTCGAAAACTTTCGAATTATTCGAAAACTTTCGAATTATTCGAAATTTTTACGAATTATTCGAAATTTTTCGAATTATTCGATTCGAACGATATTCGCACACCCCTGGTGGTGGTGGTTCGAACTTCTTTGGCGTAACAGAACAAAAATAGCTAAAGATTTCATCCCGTACGTCACAACTCTCTGTTTGTAAAAGGCATGATAAAATTTAATCAAAATAATTAAATAACGTATATTAGGCATATTACAATCATATATGTATTCATAGAATACCATTTAAGGAAAGAATATAATAATATTATATATCATTTGTCAGACAATAACAACAGTTACCATGGCAACAAACGTTCGCCTCGCCCGATCACACTTTTCGTAACACTCTCGTAACGCATTCACCAGCTTACCCCTCCAAGTCAAGCGTGCGTAAAGAAGTTTTACTTCAAAAACTAAACAAACGTACCCTGCACGCCCACGGAGCGCACGGGCAGCAGCGCGGCGGCGACGGGCGCGGCGGACGAGATGCGCTTGAGCTCCGCCTGCTCCGCGGGCGTCGTCGCGTTGGACACGCGCCCGAGCAGCGCGTGCGACTTCACGCACATCGACGCGTACTCTACCATTATTTTTACGATCACCTGCAATACACAATACAAATTATATATTATCTATACATATAATAAAATTCTGAGTCGAATCTGTACATTAAATATTTTTTGGAAAATCTTATTGAAATAGTCATTATTATCAATACAGAGGCTGAATCTATAGTTTTTAGAATTTTTGTCTGTCTGTCTGTTACCGCATCACGAGGAAACTAATGGACAAATTTTGATAAAAGTACAACAGTATTGTATGTGTGCAACAGCACATGATTATTGATTGCTAAATGCTGATAGAGTAAAAACCAAAAACAGCCATTCTTAATTAAACATACAAAACTTCAATTTAAATTTAAATGAAGTGGTTCGAGTAGAATATCATTAGCTTTTTAACAATGTCGAGTGCTCACTTGTGTTTCGGCGAAGTCCCTGTCAGCGTAGGGCTCGTCCTGGCACAGCACGCGCACCGCGAGCCCGGGCCCCGGGAACGGGTGGCGCTCCACCAGCGCCGCCGGCAGCCCTAGCTCTGTGCCAAGGATTCGCACCTGTTGTTGAAATGATATGTTAACTTTTTTTTTAATATTATTACCTTATTATAATTATATTAATTATAATTTACCGATTTCAAAAAAAAGATGGTACTTGATTTTGGGTGTATTTTTTAGCTTGGCTTAATTTTAGGTTATGATGATGAATGAACGCACCGCTTCCGCGTCTCTTTTCTTTGCCTCTTTTTTTTCGTTGGCTTTAGTATAAATGAGCGACCGGCTACAGACCCGTAGGTCCTGGGTTCGAGTCTTCGGCTGGGCAAGTTGAAGTTATTGGATTTTTCTACTAAGACATTTTCTGTAACAGCTAGAAGTTGAAGAGTTGCCTCCCCTTGTTTCGAAGAGTACGTAAATGCTATATGGTCCTGCGCTTTCTCACCAGTCGTGTCAAATTTTTGTTTTACTGGAGTTAAATATAAATTAAATAAAAATACAACCTTTGCATTTACAAGAGTAATATAACATACCTCGTCCTTATGGAAGTCCTTGAGGGGCTCCACGACGCGTCCGCGGGCCCGCAGCGCGCGCACCAGCTCAGTGTCGTTGTGGTGCGTCTTGATGGCGGCGGCGGCGCCCGACGCCAGCGCCGACGCCGACTCAATCAGGTCCGGTCTAAGTGTGCCCTGGCCGAGGAGTACTTGCTCCTCTCTGGAATCGAGAAGTTGTTGGTGTTACTATATTGTATATTGCTGTTTTTTGTGTAGGTGTCGAATTAAAATATATATATATATATATATATATATATATATATATATATATATATATATATATATATATATATATATATATATATATATATATATATATATTATTTCAAAGAACTATTTTCTTTAAAAGTTTTAAAGATGGTTAACTTTACAATGGTGCTCTTTTTCATTGTACATACAGCATGTGTATATTATTATTGAATTTTATTTTTGATTTGTTTAAAAAAAACTAAAATTAATCAATAGGCAATAGCGTACTCAGAAGAATACTTCGCTAACGAAAAAACGCTTGTCCTCGTACAAATTGGATCTTTGCCATTCCAAATTCAAAATGAAAAAAATATATAAACAAACAAATATATAAATACTAACTGCAGGTTGAGCACGTCGCGCACAGCGTGCTCGGCGACGCGCATGAACACGTCGCCGATGATGCGGCGCTTGTCCTCGGGCGCGGCGGTGTGGCACAGCTGCGGCGTGTGGCGCGTGCGCCCGCCCGCCTCGCGCACCGTCGTGCTGCCCTGTCGGAACTGAACAGATATACAAACAAATTATTAACAACATAAACATCTTGAAATAGTCATTATTATCTATACAGAGGCCGAATCTATGGTTTTTAGAATTTTTATGTCCTGTCTGTTTGTCTCTGTCTGTCTGTTGTCTGGGAACACATTACGAGGACACCATTGGATAGATTTTGATAAATTCGCTATGAACTACCTTTTAGAATTTTTTTGCGAAAATAATTTAATTTTTGGTTCCCGACGTTTCGAATGCTTTACAGCATCCATGGTCACGGGAGAGACTAGACTTTTTTCTAAACTTTAAAATTCGAAAAGATAGTTTTATTTTAAATTCACCGTAAAACAAGTGACAAACAAGTGAAACAAGCCAATAAAATATCATCACTAACACACTTAAAAACAATCTGACACTTGATGTTGATAAATACATATATTACATTAAAAAGAATTATATACCTGATGTGCAGCGTTTATAACGTGCAAGCGTACTCCAAGTTCGCGCAGGCATCTTTCGACTTTTGCACTCTCGTTCTTACGCATGAAACCTGAAATAAATTACAAACATTTTAGAACTCAAAAGTTACATCATAAATAAAGTAGTAATAATACAATAAATGAATATTGTTGCTCTGCATAAATAAATGGCGCAAGCTGATTAAAGTTTTAGATCTTAACAACAGAGGAATCTTCTCATTATACTTTTTTTTTAAATAATATAGTGTTCGCCCAGTGGTCGAAATTCAACCAAAATCATTATTAAAAATTTGAGAAAAACTTATATGAACAGAATATACCTTTCTAAAAAAACTGTTTTCATTTTTTGTCTTTTATTGATAAAAAAAAAAAGAAACTGATAAAATAAAAGTCTGGTAACAGATATAACCACATTCAAACAAATAATTAATATAGAATTTATAATATAACAATCTTTTATTATTTTATTTACCATTATCTATATGTAGGGCGATGACTTGGTCCTCACGTAGTGCGGTTCTAAGCAATGCCGCGCATACTGTGGAGTCCACACCACCGCTTACTAGTACCTATAAAGTATAAATTAGTGTTTTAATTATATTATCATTCATAAAAGTAGTCAATCTATATGTAAGATGTAAAACCATTGATACAGCATTAAAATAATATTTAAGATATATGTATGTATATTATAAGGCCCATTCTTTGAAAAAGAACCATAAAAATCGGTTTAAATTTGACGAAAACACCTTGTCATATATTACGCGTATAAAGAAACTAATTTAAAGTAAAATTACTTATTAGCCTTTTTGGCTACATCGTAATAATATTAGGTTACAATAATTTAGTAGTGTTACTTAGAAAGAAAAATGTGCGAACCATTTCCAACATGATTACCACATAATATCTTACAGTGAAGGAAAACATCGTGAGGAAACCTTTGTCTGAGAGAACCTAGCAAGTTTTCGAAAGATACACTCAGTCCGCTAACCCACACTCGTCCAGCATGGTGGACTATGACCTGACTGACCCCCATCGTATCGAAGGGAGGCCCACGCCCAGCAGTGGGCACATACATAGCTGACCAGCGACTCACCAAAACCTTGTTATCCCCGACCGCGTCCCGTATGTACTGCACGCAGGCGTCGCGGCGCGAGCGCAGCGTGAACGTGCGCGACATGCCCGCGATGTCGAACAGGAAATTGGACAGCATCTGCTTGCCCTTCGGCGTTAGATCCACCTGAAGAAAACAATTATGGTTTTTCAAAATGAACAATAATATAGACAGATGTTCATACTGCCGTCATAAAACGAAGGCCGTAACTTTGTCGAGATATTTGAAGTCTTGTCTTACTACTACGTCAAATGTACTACTAGTTTTGACGTAATTACGATGAAAATGCGTATGGTATCTCCGGATTCATAAGAATTAGAGCTTTATGAGTAAGACTATCATGTAGTATTTTTGCTGATTCCGAATCTGCATTGAAGTCATTTTTGACCAAATTGTTAGTTAGAGCCTTCTTTATTATGACGACAACATAAAACTAAACATGAAGCCAAACAATGATGTTTTAAAATAGTTTACTAATGACAATTTGTATACCGAGTGATAAATAAATAAAAATACCTAACGGATTTTATTATAATAAAGAAAGAAATTAAATAAGCTAATATTATGATTTATCTTCTCTTTCAAGGTGAAAAGAACTAATTCTTAAATAAAAAAAACAAAAAAAACTTACTTGTATTTTGGCAAAATTGAAAATAGTAGCATAAACCGCATATCACGCTACAATTTTTGACTTCGACATTTATTTAGGCTCTATGCTCTAAGGGTAATGTTTTTTACGTGCGTACTTAAAGCCCACACACTAAGAAAAAACCCAGAACCTCTGAATCCCTACGCTAGCCACTACACCAAAGGCGCAGTAGCAACAAGACTTATCCACTACACTACAAGAAATCCTATCAAATATAATATGGATAGATATAATTCTATTAATCCAACAATCCCCTACCTCGGGATGGAACTGCACACCATACAGCCGCATCTGTTCGTTGTAGATGGCCGCAATGAGGTGGTTAGAGGACTGCGCGCCCACTCGGAACTTCTCACCAACTTTTTGAACACTATCGCCGTGGGTTAGCAGTACGGGTTGGAGTTTTTCGAGGCGACTGCAAAATAAATAATTATTAATACTTACTTAGATTGACGCCAATATTTGCAATTTAAATAATCTTTTCGGATTTTTTCAGACAGACACACAAAAATTCTAATAACTATAGATTCGGCCTCTGTATCGATAATAAAGTATATTTCAATAATATTTTCCAAAAAATATTTAATGTACAGATTCGGCTTACTTACAATTTTATTATACGAGTATGTATGGATTATTATTATTATATATCACTATGCCCCACATTACTGGAAGAGATCTCTATTAGAGGAAATCCATTTTTCTAAATGATTTTCTGTGTATTTTTATATAAAAACAGTACATTAAATAAGCGAGAATATATTTGTGAGACTCGTATCAGGAACTTGGTTCTAGTTAGTTCCAACAAAATCACCTTACCAGAAATTAACAAGGTTATTAAAGAAATTGAAATTAAAACAATATTAATTATAATCACAACAATAAATGATATCTACTTACTTAAATAAAGGACATGTGGTTTCGACTTCCACTTCATACTGGCCGTCCTCCCGAGCTTCCTTCCTCAGCACTGAGCCACCAAACTCTTTGTTCAACATTTGCATACCATAACATATACCTGGCAACACCAAAAAATAAACCATTGTTTATTCTAAACTTCTACCCAAAGACGTTTTCTTATCCTTCCAATAAAATTTGTAATGTTTGCGTTCATCCGAAAATTCTATAGCAAGAGCACATTCAGTTTTTCCTGAATTTCCCAATTTTCCGAGCAACTATTCTAATCATTTCAGATTCAGAAAAAAATGGCCAAAACAGCCAAGCCGTTTTCTCATTTTTATTGATATATTTAAGTTAAAAAAACTGTATTTTTTTATTTATTCATAATAATGATTTATTTTCTAAATTACAAAAAAAATAATGACGAGACTATAGTTTATTTTAAATGCAAGAAGGTTTTGTGCTTCTAAAGTACATACATATATCACCAAAAAGCTTTTTTATATACGAGTTGACCTCCAAAAAACCATATAAAGCGTTTGCGATTAAAATGAAACGTACACGTGCACCCATCTTCGATCGTGAGCTAGTACCCAATCACAGTAATAGTATATGTATAGATTTGACATGTAATATGTACATTTACACAATGTAGTTTTTAAATCCGTTTATTAAATAAGCAAATAATGTTACACATACTAGCTGTTGCGCTTGGCTTCGCTCGTTTTGTAGGGACGTCTTTAAAATATTGTTTATCCAGGATATATCCTGATTATATTTATTCTAAATTTCTCTTAAATCTGTTGAGCCATTACGGCATCGACTGTCTGCGAGATTTTGATGAAATTTGGTATGATGATAGCTGGTTATCCGGGTCAATATATAGGACACTTTTTACTGCGGGAAAATATCTCATCTCGGGGAAATCTATACTAACCGATATAACGTACTAGGGACGAACCCGAGCGGAGCGAGAGTAAAACGCTAGTGCTCGTATAAAACCTGTATAAAATACTTTTTTTATAAATAGATTTTGAGTTAATTCAAAAGTGAGTTGGAAACTTTATTGTATCAGTAAGATTGGAGCTACTTATGGTGGGCATTTAAAAGTATTTTGCATAAAATGCTAATGCGATCTGAAGACTTTGTAGCGGCAATATTATGTAATCCAATAGCACTTTAATAGGTCGCTCGTTTCTGGTAAGAGGTAGCATAAAAATATCTAATTGTACACTACTTTTACAATTATTTAACTTATAGTTAATGTTTTAATCTATACATATAATAAAATTGTAATTAAGCCGAACATGTACATTCAATATTTTTTGGAAAATCTTATAGTAGGGGAGCCCAAGAGGGGATTTTCTGTAGTTACTCGAGCGCGGCAGATTAACATAAAACAGGTTACCTTGCACTCTATTGAGTACTTTCACCACAATATAAATCTTCTATATAAAGGGGCGCGTCTAGGGAAGCCGATTAAAATATTTAAAAATGTTTTGATAATGTAGAAATACTTGAAACCGTCAGATTAAGGTGTGGTAGGCTAGTCACATCCTGAAAAGTGTCCAATTTAATAATCTGCCGATTTGCACAAGCCTAAGAAGCAAAAATCATCATAAACTTTATAGTCGATTTTTGCCTCTTCGGCTTGTGCAAATCGGCAGATTATTGAATTGGACACTTTTCAGGATGTGACTAGCCTACCACACCTTAATCTGACGGTTTCAAGTATTTCTACCTTATCAAAACATTTTTTAAATATTTTAATCGGCTTCCCTAGACGCGCCCCTTTATATAGAAGGCTTATATTATGGTGAAAGTACTCAATAGAGTGCAAGGTAACCTCTTTTATGTTAATCTGCCGCGCTCGAGTAACTACAGAAAATCCCCTCTTGGGCTCCCCTACTACTATTGAAATAAACAATATTATCGATACAGAGGCCGAACCTTTAGTTTTTATAATTTTTGTCTGTCTGTTACCGAATCACAGAAAAACCACTGATAGGATTTTGATAAAATTTGGTATGGTGATAGCTGGTTATACGGATTAACACATAGGTTACTTTTTACCGCGGGAAAATGTCTAATTTCTGAGCAAAAATACAAAAACTGCAATGTAAGAGTATACTAATATGTAAAACCTAAGAATTTAGTTTTTGGCTATCTGAACGTGGACGGAGCCGCGGGCAGTGCTAATTTTATAATAAATATACATAAATATATATTCACAATTGCTATTACATCTGTATAATAAAATTGTAATGAACTCACATTTGTACATTTGATACGTAAAAAAATATGTTTACTGTTAATTTTTTTACAAACGTTTTTGTAAATTTGTAACGCACTTGCGTTGCGTTCATTAAAAAATGGCAAATATAAGATTTCAAACAACTTTAATGGTACTTACAAATAACAATTTAAATTTAAAACTTAGCTTACACAGAAATCAAAACGACCAACTTACCTAAGACCGGCAGGCCAATCTTGAATATATCTGCGTCATATCTAGGCGCGTCCTCTGCGTAAACAGAATTTGGACCACCAGATATGATGATAGCCCGATATCCCGTCTCTTTGAGATGGTACGCCGGCGTGTCCAGTGGAAGTATGTCTGATTCTACACATAGCTCGCGAACTCTTCTGTCTATCACCTGTTGACAAGTGTTTACTTTTAAAAAACCTTACTAAAACGTCATTTATAATTATAGTTTTTTTTTTCATATTACTGAAAAAAATTAATACAAAGTAATTATTTTTAATACATCATATTTGAAATTGTAATTATTAATTAACTGTTATTTCTGATAAACTTCATAATACTTTATGTAAAGAGTATGTATACAGAAAAATTATATATTATGTAAAAAACAGTTATAGATATTTAGACGCAACGCATTTGTTGAATGAGCTTTTGCCCTAAATTATTAACATGTTCACTAAAGCTCGTTTATTTAGTTATCCCATCGATCAAAAAAGTACTAGATACACAATCCCATGCGAAAGTTCTCTTAAAACTGTCACCAATTTGTGTTTAGGTAATTATTCTAGTTGAAAAAAATAATATAACAATGTTAATTGGACCTTAACTGCAATGCTTAAAGTTGTTTTCACAAAAAAAATTAAAAGCGCGCTCTAATGTTCAAATGAACGCTCATTAGGTGAGGATATTTTTTGTCACTGATTGTGTATCTAGTACTTTTTTTAATAGAAGAATTATCCTTAAAATAAAATAGAATACAACCAATCAAAATTTATTTATAGTGTATTGAATTGTAAAATCAAAAAAAAAAACATTTTTTATGAAAGTACTAGGTAAAGATAACTTTGTAAGATATGTTTATAGTTCACCACGCTGGCCAAGTGCGGGTTGGCGGAATTATATTTTAAAAAGATAATTTTTAATATATTGTATTTTTTATTTATTTATTCAGTTATTAGTATCGTATTTAATATTATTAGGGATACGATCGCCGACCGACCGAATGGTTCGCTCTAAGCCTGTTACGTCGTGTTAATAATCATGACATAACGGTTCAGTTATGTTTGATGCTCATAAACTCGAGGAAACCTTATTAAAAATCCATTAGGAAAATGCACCTTATCCATACATTGATTTTAAATATTATAAGTATAGTTCATTGACTAATTTTATTCACGTACTAACAAATTACACTCATAATGTGTTATTTTTGAAAAAAAAACATAGTTTATACAATTATTTTTAAGAAAATTTAACCCTGAACCGAAAGTAGGTACGAATCTTTCTAATAAACCGTATTTATAAAAGCGAAATATTACTCATTGATTAATAAACGAAATCTCAGAAAGTGTAAATGCTACAAAATTGTAGCAAGTGTATAGGGTAATATATATTCTATAGGAAAATATATATAACTTTTTAAATTTTCGCTTTCCATAATTCTATAAAAATGACACTGCAACTTAAACGCGTATACTATATATGTGGTAAAATAAACCAGCCGTGGTTACGTCGTCGTTCCGTCCAACGCGTCGTAGACAATATTAGTGTCGTGTATAGCAGCTATTATACATATAATATGTGAAGATCAAGTGAGGATCTTTGTAAAAACGCCTCTGATACTTCCGACCTCCGTAGCAGGTGATGCTGTACACTACCACCAATCTGCCCGTGACCACAGCTGGTGCAACCCAGTCGAAACGTCGGGAACGAGGTATTTTACCACATACCAATATAGGCTTTTAGTTCCAGTGTCATTCTCAGAGAAATGTATATTAGCCTCATTAATGAGAGTAAAAATGAGATACGAATAAGAAAATAAACTAGATCTAAATTATAAAAAATAAACTAGATAAAAATTCTTTCATAGATTTACGCAAATATTTTGACATTTTAAACAAAAACAAAACTATCTTTTCGGATTTTTTCGCGTTTTTATTTTGATTTTAGGTTCCCGACGTTTCGAATGCTTTACAGCAATCAAGGAGGTAGATCATAGGTGTTAGATGTCTCAAAGGCATTATATAGTTATTAAAGACAGCCTACCCACAAAATAACAAAATGAATTCAAAAAATTGAAAAATGGCACCAAAGTAGGTCCCTTACAATATATGTTAATTTAATTTTAAAACATTTTTATATAATTTTAATTATTTTTATAATTATAATTGAACGTCGGGAACCAAAAACCAAAATAAATTCGCGAAAAAATCCGAAAAGATAGTTTTGTTTAGATCTAATAATATTAGTTGTACAATCACTATGATATTGTAAGTTCAAATAACATGGATAAGAGTTCAAGGCAAAATGTACTAACAAATTTTATATTACATAGTTTAATTAATCAATACTTCTAAAAGCCTCACAGACATGAGACAGGTCCATAATAATAATATTTTACAGATAGGTCTTCTAGGCAAGCCCAGCTAAGCCCTTGAGTTATGTTGTATAATGACAGTTACAAACCTTATCTTAGCTACGAATAGTAACGTAATATTACCGAAATAATCTTATCTGTTCTTTACAGTTTGTTTTTACTCATGAAAACTAAATTTATATAAATTGCTATTTTATTATATACCCATATTTCCCACGGTCTTAGTCTTACGGTGAAAAAAACATCGCGAGGTAAACTGTAAATATGACCACGTTTCACACTTTCGCAAAAAACTCAAGTGGCTCCCAATCCGCTTTCGCAGGAATACTCACATACTTCATCTCCTCTACTGCGTGCTGTTTAATCCTTCTACCCCTTCCTATCTCAAAGAGCGTTTCGAGCTTCTAAGGAATTCTCATACTCGTTCCCTGCGTTCTAGTGAAACGCTTATCCTCAAAATTCCTTCTCACTCCTCTTGTTTTCTTACCAACTCCTTTTCTGTGAAAGCTGCACGTCTATGGAACTCTTTACCAGTACACATCAGACGGGCTGATAATTTGGACAAGTTTAAGATGATGTTAAAAACGCATTATTTATCTCTTTAGTTGGTCTTATTATAATATATTATGTACACTATATTTGATATTGTATGTATCTTATATGTATTTATTTGAAATACGTAACTTAAATACTGATTATATTTTTCTATTATACTGCTTGTATGCATATATGTTTGTATGTATGTATTTGTGTATGTATTTATGTATGTATGTATGTATGTATTTATGTATGTATGTATGTATATATGTATGTGTATAAGTATGTATTTATACAAGTACACCGCCTACCATTTTTATATACTGATTCCTCTACCCTAAGGTTGCCTGGAAGAGATCGCTTTTAGCGATAAGGCCGCCTGCTGTGCATCTTTTTATTGTTATGTATTTCACTTCTTTATTTATTTTCTTGTGTGGTGTGCAATAAAGTATTCATTATTAAACTGCATGTTCGAGAGAACCTAGCAAGTTTTCGAAAGACATGTAAAGTCCGCTAACCCGCACTTGGTCAGCGTGGTGCACTATAGCGTGATGCTCCTCGTAGTAAAGGGAGGCCAATGCCCAGCAGTGGACCTTTAAAAAATAGACTGAATTCGACGATTTCCTACGGCTCGGCTAGTGTTGTACGTTAAAGGTAGATAAAAGCCCACGTAAATCTATACATAATATAATAAAACTGTAACGAAACCGAATCTGTACATTAAATATTTTTTGGAAAATCTTATTGAAATAGACATTATTATCGATTTAGAGGCCGAATCTATAGTTTTTAGAATTTTTGTCTGTCTGTCTGTTACCGCATCACAGAAAAACCACTGGGGGGATTTCGATAAAATTTGGTACGGTGATAACAGGTTATCCGGGTCAACATATAGGATACTTTTTACCGCGGGGAAATGTCTCATTTCTGAGAAAAATACAAAAACTGCAATGTAAGAGTATACTAATATGTAAAACCTAAGAATTTGGTTTTTGGTCATCTGAACGCGGGCGGAGCCGCGGGCAATGCTAGTCTGAGATAAATCTTTACTTCAAATTCACTTAAAACCGTTAAGCAGTTACACAAAATTGTAAAAACACACTCACTTACTCACTCACTTTTTTAAGCTAATTATTTAAGAGTTAGTGTGCCTGCTTCCTCTCAAGTTCTGAACCTCGTGCATCTTCGCTGTTAATAGGTTCTAATACCTATTCCGAAATGAGCCCTTGACCGCTAATGACTATCGAATTAGAAAGTAAAATATGTAAATTTTTTACAGTCAATTCGTGTGTAGATTGAGACGCTGTTTTAACTTTTAAAATATATTAATATTGATTGCGATATTTAATACAAACTACATTTTATGAATGCATCAAAATTAAACGAGTTATCAAATTTAAAATTTTTATTGAACCTAGCCACAGACTCATAAGAATTCATGAACTGGCATTAAAATTAAACATCTAGGTAAAATATAAAAATTACCAATTTAAACATTATATGTACACGATAGTTTGGATGAGTGGATGTTTGTCACTTAATCACGCCAGGTCAGCTTAATGGATCGGGATGAAGTTTGGTACAGAGAAAGATTATAGTCTGGAATAGCACATATGTTACTTTACCCGTGGGATAGATCTGTTTTTGTTTTTCACTTATTTTTGATATTTGTATTACCTATTTTATAGTGGTTAGGAAATGTTAAAGGTCACAAGGTTGATTCTCATTCATGATAGATACTGAGACTGGATGGCTGTTTCATACAAACATTATCCGCTACACCACATTTAAGTGTGCATAGAATTAAAAATAAAGTTATTAAAGTAAAGTTTAGTGGTTAGCATGATGTACAGATCTTATGTTTTTAGTGAGCTGAGTAAAGACACAGAGAAGTACTAGAAGTACTAGATATTATTCATTTAATTATTATTATTTCTATAATCATCTTACCTTCCCATACTGTGAACCAGCATCCAATATGGCCACTTTATCCCTCCCATTCGCCGTGCCATTGGCACTGCGGTACTGTCCCTCTGTACTGGCTGTGTGCATCTCGCCAACTCGCCAGCAGCACTGACAATTAAAAAAAAAACAATAATATAATAGCTATGCTAATTTATATACTCTATAGTCTACCCCTAACAAAGAATATCCTTACAAGGCTATTTTTTTCATATTTAAATATTTGTATTATGAATTTTATTATACATTTCTATTTATATATATTATACCTGTTTTTGAATAACACAGCTTTGTTTCAATATTCTACATTTTTTTCTTTTATAAAAAAAAAGAAAAAAACATATATCAAAATTTGTCTCTATCTAATTGGTTACCAAAATGAATCTGGCAAATGGTGTTACAGGAATACTGGTATGGACAAACAAAAGGGACAAGGGATAACAAAGGTGTTTGATATATTTAAGTAAGAAAATAAGAAACAGTAGAGGCAATGTAACAATAATAGGTAACATCAAACAAATATAGCACCAGTTTTACTTATAGTATATAATGTACTTAATATTTAAAAAAAATCTAGTCCATACTAATATTAAATGTGAAAGTGTGTTTGTTTGTTTGTCCTTCTTTCACGTCGAAACGGAGTGACGGATTGGCGTAATTTTTTGTCTGGAGATAGTTGGAGGGCTGGAGAGTTACATAGGCTACTCTTAACCGCGGGAGATTATCTAATTCCCACGGGAAAACACTTTATAATTCAATCCAAAAAATACCTATTTATGGTCGAAATTACTTGAAACTTCATATTAATACTCTTCAATAAAATTAAATAAATAAGTGTTTTAGCATTTTTCGAAATTCATCACATACGGGGGTTAAATAGGGGATGAAAGTTTGTATGAAAGTACCTTTTTACAGATTTTTTGGAGTTTTAGCGCGAGCGAAGCCGCGGGTTCTGCTAGTATTCTATATTTTCGATTATTTTTTAAGTGCTTTTTGATATACTATTTACATTTCCTTTACAACAAAAGTTTATAAAGTATTTTCTCATAATACAGAAACTTTTGTTTATATATTTCAGACATAATAGTTCGCTTGATGCTACACATTTAAAGAATACTTTTAAATGCACTGTAGATAAAAATCTATTCTAATCTCACACAACTGAGTAAATATAAATTCATTACTGGAATCCCAACAGGTTCAACGCAACCTACTCAATATTTTATACTAACTTTACCTTATTCCATATATTCTTCAATTTAATCATTACAACACAATATATACACAAAACACATCACTACACCAAATGTCATTTTCACAGTCAAAAATCACAAGTCATACAAACACAATGGAACCACTCATTATTTAAATAAAAACAATAAAAAAACAAAAGCAAAGAATATATGAGAATTAGTTGCAAGAATAAAGACTGAACACATTTGAGTTGTGAGTGTGAATGGTTATTTATAGAAAGCATCCCACATGATGCTAACATGCTAATAATCTATAAACACACTACACTAGTACACATGACAGTGGAGGAGAAAGATTTAATTTTGCTTTACATTTCCAGTGTATTTTTTATACAATCAATACAAAATACAGTTTGTGCATGATTTTATAAATGGATATAATAAACCAATGGTATGACATGACAAAAGCTTAACTTAATTATTAAAACAAACACTAAAGTAATAATTAAAAAATAAAATTTATACGTGAAATCTGATTATGCTTATATTTCTTTGAATTATTAATAAATTCAATGTCTCGGTTAAATGGTTTTCATACGATACAAAATATTATATTTAATCATTCATATAAAGTTATTGATTGTTGTAAAACTTGTTACATTATTAAAATTTTATGTTCTTATAAATTTTAATAAAACAAAATAAAGGTTTCTTATTGACATATAAAAAAATTAGAAAACGACTGTTCAATTATTTTTTTTATTATATAAATTTGCTAATCAAAAAAGCTATTAAACAGGATATGATTTAAATTATATAACAATTAGCAACTTACGATTTTTAATAATATTGTTCTTTTTCTCATTCTTTAAGATAATGGCATAGAAATTTGCCGACATTTACTAAAAATATTCTTACCAATTAAATCTTATATGAAAAAGCAGTTTAAGACAGCAAAATAAAATAATTGAATATATAAAATTTAATTTCTTGTTTAGAATCTATATATATAATTGAGAATTATTTATATCCATAGTATGTAACAGTCATTCTACAATAATTATAAATATTCATTTTTAATATTAAAGTTTAAAACACAAGTAGTAATAATTACCTATTCAAAATATAAGATTATATCACTCTTGCAAGTGTTGATACTTGATAGGTACTGAGGACACAACACTTATCTCATATATTATATTTGAAAAGGTTATAATAATAATCATTTTATCATCACAATATGATGAAATTTAAAAACAACATAGCAGAATAATATTTTACATGGCGCGACTTCATATTTGGTGCGCCAAAATATTAGAAGATGTTTATAGGTTACGACTCGTACAAAAATAATTTTTACTTCGACAATGAATATTGCAAACACGAACCTTTCTGAATATACAAAACATGGTAGATATATATATCAGTTGAACTGGTCATTTTGAGGTGTTATTGTGAAGAATAAGATGAAAGATAATATGAATGATAACAATGCGATAATCCTATGCGTTTTTAGAAACAAGAAGACAGTGTAGTGTACACACCGGGCAACTATCGACATCATGTTGTTGTTTTGACAAAAACTATGACGACTTTCGAGATGGTTGGACTATGTACTAGAACTAAAATAATTATTATAATATCTAATTTATATAAAAATTAGTCGCAATGAAAAGGTAAAACGCATCTAATACCGGGATTTGACATTACTTACATTCTGGGTCACGATGAGAGACACATTTTGCAAAGGACAAACTAAACCAATCTAAAACCAACGAACAAGTAAACTATTATTTAACTATCTTACCTGTAAATGATAATCTGAGGTATTAGAAGAAAATATTCATGAAAAACGTGAATAAATGTAATTCTCCATTCAGCACTACGAATACAAAATTTAGTACTGACAGGAGTCTCCAGGTGGCGTCAACTATTCTTTACTTGTCAGTTATTTTAATATTAATTTCGACTAAGATAAATATGTTATTGAATATGTTAATGTTAAAATATAAAATGATTGTTAAAAATAAAAACGGTTCATATTTATAGATTACTTTTGAAAAGTATAATAAATTAGTATACACTACATTTTAACTTTGAATGCATCCGTTCATAGTTCTGCTCGTCATTGTGCTACTTCATTATACGCATATACTTTATAGAAGGATTGGGTTTTTTGCCTTATTTTGTATTTTTATTACATAAAAAAGTAATTATAAGTCAACTTAAATTATTTTTACGATAATTATTTATAATGTTTCAAAGAAATAATGTTTCAAAAGACAAAAATATAAATAATATTTCAATTTACGCTTAAACTTTATCTTATTTTGACAACAATTTGACAATAGACAATACTAGTGGCTTAAAAAAAATAAAAAGTGAAACATAATTTGTGTTCGTCGCTTTGTTAAGGGTTGAGACGGATTTTTAAAGTAATAAATCTCTAAAGTATTAAAATGCCGGACCATTTAGGTGATGATATGCGAAAAGTTAAAGATGATAAAGAAGAACCAGAAAAAGAGATAAAGTGTAAGTAACCAGTGTATTTAATGTAAATATAACCCTTAGCGTTTATTTTCTTATATTTATTAATTTTACTTATATTCCAGCGCTCGACGAAGGAGATATAGCACTTTTAAAATCTTATGTAAGTAAAAAACTCGACACGTATTCATTTTAAGAGGAGACATATTCTTTAAATTGCAATGACTGGCATATTTTGGTGACTTGTTCTTCACAATATATAGTATTTTTATAGGGCCAGGGACAGTATACAAAAATAATTAAAGAAGTAGAAGATGGCATTCAAACTGTTATGAAAAGAGTCAATGAATTGACAGGTATTAAAGAGTCTGATACAGGACTTGCTCCTCCAGCATTATGGGATTTGGCTGCAGACAAACAAACACTTCAAAATGAACAGCCTTTACAAGTAAGTTGATTAACTAATCATCATTATTACTACAATTATTTGTTTCTATGTGCCTATTATAACCTATTTATAAACTATGTGTTTACTTTTTTTAAAATATGTAGTGCTAAATTATGTATTTTGATTGTTTTACTAATTTGAGTTTTATATCAGGTTGCAAGGTGTACAAAAATCATAAATGCAGATTCAAATGATCCCAAATACATTATTAATGTAAAACAGTTTGCCAAATTTGTTGTTGATCTTGCTGATTCAGTAGCACCGACAGATATTGAAGAAGGAATGAGAGTTGGGTGAGTTTTAATATATCTTGATAAATGTTTATAATTATGATATTATCCTGCTTTCTCTGTGACAATTTGTTAAATTTAATACTGCGCTTGTTCTAAAATTAAATTAAACTTATATTTTTCTTGTATAATATTATATATTTCTTTAGATTGACTTATACTTCTTACATTTTGCTATACTAATGACAATGTATATTATTTCTTTTTTTTAATTCTAAAAAAATATATTCAACCTATTTTGAATTTTTTAACTGCACTGTTCACTGATAAACTTACAATTCAAGTTAATTGTGTTCATATTGATACAAATGTATGAACACACATTGACAACACATAAAAAAGTGGTTGTGTGCCTAATAAGGATTTATATTTTTACTGTTCAAAAATAAATAGCCTAAGATCCACAGGATTACGTTGTCTATCTGTTATTTAATGCCTCCATGTTTAGTTTCCGGGAAATCAATTGTTTACTGCTATGGCGGCATTTTAGTGACCGTTGAAGCAATGAAATAAAAGGTGCTATCTATTAATTGTATATAGCACTGTTTGGGTTCTGTAAAAAAATTTATTTTGCTGTATTTCAAAGTTCTGACTTTGGAAGGTAAAATTTTTGTTTGTGACAAGATAAGCAAATAGCTGGCACACCTCTCCAATATAGAAGTTCAATTACTTTCACTTGATAATATAAGTTATAATTATTGAGTTATTAAATTGAACAACATATTTGTACTATTCAGGTATACATTTTCTCTATTGCATGGTGGAATTTAATAAAATATTATATTTTTTTTAAATAATGATTTTGTTTTTAAATAACCAGTTATAGATTTCTCACGGACTTCCTCAGTATGTAACTGATATTTAATTTAATTTTTAAAAATGTAAAAAGTGATGATTCAATAGTCTATTTGAATACAGTTTTTTTTTTTTGATTTGGTTTGTCTAAAAGCTGTCTATAATTAAGTTTTTCTTTCAATATACATATATATTTAATTAAATTCATTAAAGTATATCTAAGTAGAGCTGAACAAATTAACAATACATATTTAATTATATCATTCATATTGGCATCATTTGACTGATCAAATAAGAATTATTTAGCAAATAGCCAAAATTTGTTCCAATGAAGATTTTTTTTGCTAATATTAAAACAGTAGACACTGATTAAAAGGTGAATGTTCCTCATTATTTATTAGTCAACACAAATATATATTTGACATTGGTTGTATGTGACCAGAAACATAGGCACCACAGTATGTAATTTTTCAATTGTTTATTTCTTGCAGCGTCGATCGCAACAAATATCAAATCCACATTCCATTACCACCCAAGATAGATCCCACTGTGACCATGATGCAAGTGGAGGAGAAGCCAGATGTCACATACAGTGATGTGGGAGGCTGTAAGGAACAAATTGAAAAGTTAAGGGAAGTTGTTGAAACACCATTGTTACATGTAAGTGTTATTTTTTCATTTTAATAATGAGATATTGATTTAATATTTTAGAGACCCATTTTAGAAATGCCTCAGAAAACTTACATATATAAATTAGAACCTTATTTTTTTTATTGTAATATATTCATATCCTTTATAAAAATATACTATATATAAATATATAATACATATTACATATCTATATTAAATTTTATGCTAAACTGCAATGTCTGTTATATTTTAATATCTTTGCCAGCCGGAGAAATTTGTGAAGTTGGGAATCGAACCACCCAAGGGTGTGTTACTGTTCGGTCCCCCTGGCACGGGCAAGACTCTGTGCGCGCGGGCCGTTGCCAACCGGACCGATGCCTGCTTTATACGTGTTATTGGTAAGATACATCTCTACTAATATTATAAACGTGAAAATCTATATGTGTTTGTATGTTTGTTACCTCTTCATATTGAAATGGCTAGACAAATTTAAGTGAAATTTAGTACACAATATACATTTCGATTTTGATTTGGAGTAACACATAGACACAATGGAGTGAAGAGACACTAAGTTGCTAGTTTGAATAAAACTATTTAAAAAAATAAAATATGGTAAGATCTAATTTTATATCATGGTCTAAGCTTGCCGATGTGAAGTTAGCACAAGTGGCGCCGCAATAACAAAATGTCAGTTTAATTTCGAAAATCTCAGAGAGTCTTCTTTATAAGTATTAGATTTTTCTAAATGGTTAATATTTTTTGTGTGTATAGAGTAGTAGTTCATTTACACTCTGGTACTGTTGTACTTTTATGCATACAATTCATTTTAAATTGTTTAATTCAAGTTTAAATTGTTAAACTTTACTTTTTGACGACACATTTGGCTCAGTTTGTAGTGACTCTATCTGCTGTGCCAGCGGTCGCGGGTTTGAGTCCCGGTGGAGGCATTCATTTGTGTGATGAGCACTTTTGTTTGTACTCCAATAATGGGTGTTTATATTTATAATATGTATGTATTTAAAGTTATATATGTGTAGTGTATCAACTATCTGGTATCCATAACACAAGCCTCATAGCTTACCATGGAACAAGATGGTGCTGTGTGTTAATAATGTTCCAACATATTTATTTATTTATTAAACTGGTCAAAAATACTTGCTTTTACATTCATAATATTAAGAACATGTCTGGAGAGTAAAGAAAGAACGTCAACTATAAGCTTAGATGGCATTCTGATACAACTCTCCTACAGTAATTAGTCACATTGAACACCATTGCTATAACAACTTGTTTTGTAGTTTAACAGCAATGCTACACAATGTGAGACAAACTAATCTCATTTATTCTTTTGCCTTTTCACTTGTCTGTCTTGAGGATGCATTTTAAAATAACTAAAATACGAAGTTAATAATACCATAATATTATGTTAACTAAAAAGGTAGATTGACCTCCTAATCATTACAAAAATCATTTCTTTACCCCATAATAATTTTATATCGCATTTCAATTCGAGTCCATATTTTTTTTGTATAATTATGACATGCAAAAAAATATATATTCGAATGTAGTAATTCCTTCTTTTAAAGTCGGTAAGACCAATATGAGGTTAACATCACAAAGGATATAGACACAAAAATTCAAAACTATTAGTTTCATATTCACGCACGTTACTCTTCAAGATTCGAAACATGTCTTAGAAACACCCTTATTATAAACACATAGGCATTTTAAAAAATATAGATTAATATATAATTGAATTACGCATGCGTTGCCGCGGGAAAACACGAGTTTTAAAATAATTATTGTATATTATATAATTAAATACTTATTTATTTGATTAATTAGTTTTTTTTTTATGTTACATACATTTAGGTTCGGAGTTAGTCCAGAAATACGTAGGCGAGGGCGCGCGCATGGTGCGCGAACTGTTCGAAATGGCGCGCAGTAAGAAGGCGTGCCTCATTTTCTTCGATGAAATCGACGCCATTGGTGGCGCTAGGTAATGTTAACACATTAATAAATAATAAATTGATATTTATTGACATTTTTTTTATGAATAATTGCATGTGTGTGTACATGTTTTTTGTATGTTATACTATTTAAAATTCTTAAATATTTTGCTCACAACTTAAAGATTTTTTTAAAGATATTAATAATTATGTAATTATTAATAAAAAATATTTTTAGTTAATATTATACAAAAAATATTTTTGATATTTTCAAAAAAATGAATTCACATGTCTATGTGTTTATGTCTATAATAATGATGTGTTTTCTTTATATTTATTGTTGCCGGAGAGTAAACTTGTAAAGTAAGAACGTCTTAGACAAGCTTACACGACTTTCTGATACGACTCTCCTAAAGAATTTGTACCACTCCGAATATTTTTTGTCATTTTAAATGCTTTTGACAATAAAATATATTGTGGAACCAGTTAGTTTATATTAGTTTTTAGATTTATTATTATTTTAAATCGCTATCGTCAGGATGAAATAATGTAAAATAACCACTTTCTACTAGTAATATACAAGTATAAATACTACTGATTAATTATGATTATATATATTTTTTTTTTTTTGAAACTAAAGTTGCCTTTTTTGAATCTTTTGTTTTCATAACCTTTGTGTCGTTATAATAAATATTGGTCTTTTACTTAAACAGAAGTATATAATTGATATTGAACATATTAGAGGAAGAGCCTTAGGCCATATTTTAAGTTTGTATTTTTTTTTTCCAATATAATATTTATAAATATGAACGATAAAAAAATATGTAAATAATTATTTCTGGACAGATTCGATGACGGCGCGGGCGGCGACAACGAAGTGCAGAGAACTATGTTGGAACTCATCAACCAGCTCGATGGGTTTGATCCCAGAGGAAATATAAAGGTACAATATTGAAAAGAGCTTTTTTATATCTATACTAATATTATAAAGAGGTAAATTTTGTGAGTTTGTGACGTTGTAGGGGTAATCTCTGGATCTACTGAACCGATTTAGATTAAATTTGGTAAGAAGATGGTTTTTTGACGCTGGGAAGGACATAGGATACTTTTTATCCCGGAAATCATCACTTGAGTGGGTGAAAATGGCGATGAAAGTTTGTTTGAGGAATCAAGAATAGTTTGTTATATAGGGAAGGATATAAAGTAGAGAAAAGATTTTAATTACTTTGTTATGATTTTTTTGACATTTTAACTGAAAATAAATGAATTACTATATTTTAAATTACTACTAATCTTAAATTTATTTTTCGTTAAGGATTTTATTATTTTAACGTCTAATTATTACGGCTCATAAATTTGTTTCTAAATTCTTTAGGAATTTATCGCGAATTTATTTAAAAAATATATTTAAAACAAAATCGGCCAGGTGCTGATGGCCACCAACCGGCCGGACACGCTGGACCCGGCGCTGATGCGCCCCGGCCGCCTCGACCGCAAGGTGGAGTTCGGGCTGCCCGAGCTGGAGGGGCGCGCGCACATCTTCCGCATCCACGCGCGCTCCATGAGCGTCGAGCGCGACATACGCTTCGACCTGCTCGCCCGCCTCTGTCCCAACTCCACCGGCGCCGAAATCAGGTGATGGGAGCCTGCTGGCTTTCTTTTTTTCTGTTTTTTTTTTCTTAATGTATTGAGAGCAAGGTGATGTACAATCTGCTGCGGCTTGCTTTTTTTATTTAATGAGAGCAATATGGAGTTCTTTCTGTCTGTTCGAGTTTTTGAGAGCCGCGTACATCTCGACTGGTGCAGAAATAGGTGATGTGTGTGTGTGTGTTTTTTTTAATTTAATGAGCGCAAGGTGGAGTTCTGTGTATTCGAGCTTAAAAGCCTCGTCCATCTCGACTGGTGACGTGTGCCTTTTTTTTATTTAATGAGTGGGAAGTGGAGTTCTGTCTGCTCGAGTTTGAGAGTCGCGTACATCTCCACTGGTGCTGAGGATAGGTGACGTGTTTCTTTTTTTTTTAATGAGCTCAAGGTAAAGTTCTGTATGCCTATTGCCCGCTGTAGAACCGCGCACATTTTGACTGGCGCTGGGATTGGGTGATGTGTTTATTTTCTAATGAGCGTAAGGTGGAGCTCAGTATGTCCGAGCTAGAGGGCCGTGTTATGATGTTAAAAGATGATGTGGCTTTACTCTAACCTAAGAAGAAAGTTACCTAAACGTAGCACGTTTAGATAACTTTTGTAAGGGATTTGTGCGAGGTAAAATATTATTGTTATATTTTTACAATACAATATATTTTATTTGCATTAATTAATTTAGAAACAATACTCAGTATAATAGATCTTAAACTTAGATTACTAGTTGCAATTAATTAACCATAATCATTAATCAGGCCATACATTTCACACATTTTTCGGAAAATAATGACATGCAGATTTTCTCACAATTCATTGAATTGGTATCTGCTTCTGTTTTTGAATTCTATTAAATAATTTACAGATCGGTATGTACGGAGGCGGGCATGTTCGCCATCCGCGCTCGTCGCAAGGTCGCCACGGAGAAGGACTTCCTCGAAGCTGTCAACAAGGTGATCAAATCGTACGCCAAGTTCTCCGCTACACCCAGATACATGACCTATAACTAGATTGTTTTATACACCCTAATATTGTGTTTATTGTATTAAAATAATAAATAAATAATTGTATGTTTTGTCGTTTTATTTACTGGTCAGGATGTTATTTTACTAATTACTATTTGTACGTGGGTTTATTTGCGTGGCGGGTAGATTCATAGTTAAAAGAAACCTATTTATGCCAATGCCAATTTCATTGAAATCCATTGAGCCGTTACAGCGTGATACATAGCATGTAATAAAATTCTAACTGAGTCTAATCTGTACATGAAATATTTTCTGTAAAATATTATCGAAATAGTCATTATTGTCGATACAGAGGCCGAATCTATATCTTTATTTTTTGTCTGACCACATCACGGAAAAATCACTTGTGGGATTTTGATGAAATTTGGTATGATGATAGCTAGTTATCCGGGTCAACATAAAGGATACTTTTTACTGCGGGAAAATATATCATCTCTGAGAAATCTATATTAAACGTTAAAACGTAAATAGGGAAGAAACGAAGCGGAGGCGGCGAGGGTGAGTCGCTAATAACATATTAATAGCGTTATGTATCTATTTATATTTAGCAAAAAAACGTACATGACATCTGCAGTATATATAGTAGCGATATGAGGTTTTGGATATAATTGATCCGATGTTACTCAGTTGTAGTGTTACTCAACACTGATACAATTTGTTCACTATTTAATGCAAACAAGAATTTCAATAAAATCTTTAATAAAATCTTTCAAATCGATTTCTAGTGATGCTTCACAAAGAAACAAATAAAAACGAATTTTATTTCAACAATGTCCCAAAATTATCCACAACCTACGCTTTAAAGAATACTAATTTAATAATTTCGTTTTCCAGCTAAATATGTTTTTAAAATATGTAAATGCTAGGACTCACAGGGTTTGAAATCAAATCATCGAAAATGTCCAAAAGCTTGATAACTATTTCTAAACATTTGAAAAAACATTTCTCGTCTTTCTGCGATAAATATATATTTATATTACGATTTATTAAGTAACTCAAAGGTGATATGGATAAAGTGATAAAAATTGTGTATATCTAAGTAATTTAAAAAATTGCGCTTCGTTTCAATAAATCATATTTAAATATAATAATTTAAATAAAAATATTTTTTTTTATACTGACAACATCGATTTTATTATTTACATTTCAAATCAGCCGTTTCTCAAAGCGGGTACTTGCAAATAAACTAAGCCAAATCTTTACACATAAATGTAAGACTTAAAACAAGAGAATTGAAGTAAGAGTTATCGCTGCCGCTTATTTTTGTAAATTATAACGAAATCTTGTATTGTTTTGGTTAACGTTTAATATAAAATAAAATACTTACATACCTACATGATACATATATTATATTGAGCTTCTAGATCTAAAGATTTCTCACGGAATAAATCATGTCAAAATCGGTAAGTTTTTTATTTGTTATATATTTTTATACATAACTGTGAGCCGACTGGGTTAATTGCCGGAACCCACTATGTGGATAGCACAATACCGATCGTCGTGGAAGTCTTTGAAGGAGGCCTATACACCCACACTAGTGTACGAGATGAGATCTTTCGACTCAGATGACGATGATGACGTAAATAAATAGTTATAAAAAAATATATAAATTAATATTTTATTAAATTAAAATCATTGTAACGCTTTTAGGATGCATATACAGATGTCGTGGAGCTGTGTGCGCTGTTACAATGCCTTGGATTTCATATAAAATCGTTGGATATCACCGACGGTAATGTCAGCCAAGATGGAGGAACGCGCACCGTCATTATCAATTGCCAGGTTTCTTTGTCAAATTATAAAATAAAGCCATTATCTGCCTTAATATTTTCTTTATTTATTCTATTAAAGCATATGGCCACAAGATACTTTAGATTAGAGCTTTTATTCAGTTTATTGATTGTCCAAAAAAATTTTTTATGGTATATTCATCAATCATTCAGTCACTCTATGCTTTCAGATTCGTTCAAAAAATAATAATTTTCTTTTTATTACTTTTATATACCTAAATGAATTGTTCTGTGTTGATTTGTGTGTTATTATTGAATACTAGCGACTCACCCTCGCTTCTCTCGGGTTCACCCCAAGGAATATTTTGATTTTTTTAAAAGGGAAACCTAATACTTTTACTAAAATAAAAGTATCCAAAGTTACTCCTTATAACATCAACTACCTGCCAGTGAAAGTCCCGTCAAAATCGGCCCAACCGTTTCGAAGATTAGCCGGAACAAACAGACAGACAAACAAACAAAAAAAATGTGTTTTTCTTATAGATACCGTATATAATTCCATATGCATTTAATAAAAAGCTGTTATTTTTACATTACAAACAGAGACTTCAATTTTATTTATCTGTTTAGACTATTTATCTTATTGTACGAATAATAAAATCCAATAATTTAATGCACAGTAATATATGTTTATAATATATTAGGCGTCAGGTTTCCACGTAGTAATGGAGAGTGCGAATTTGACGTGTTCTTGTCCGAGTGCTCCCAATCAACAGAACAGTAGTTTTTGGCAAGTATCTGGTATGACTGGCGGAAAACAGTATAGTAAGGTAAAGTTTCAGGCATTTTTTTTGTATGAGACATTTTTTATTTATTAAAAAATATTAATAATATCTTTAGATGACTTTGAGGAAATCGCATCATTTTATAGATAGATATTTATTTTCACCATTACTTTTTAAAATCTATACCTACATATAATAAAATTGTAACTAAGCCGAATCTGTACCTACATTAAATATTTTTTGGAAAATATTGTTGAAATAAACATCGATACAGAGGCCGAATCTATAATTTTTAGTATTTTTGTCTGTCTGTCGTGTCAAACCACTGGAGGGATTTTGATGAAATTTGGTATGGTGATAGCTGGTTATCCGGGTCAACATATAGGATACCTTTACCACGGGAAAATATTTAATTTCTGAGAAAAAATACAAAAACTGCATTGTAAGAGTATACTAATATGAAAAACCTAAGAATTTGTTTTTTGTCATCTGACTCGGGCGGAGCCGCGGGCAATGCTAGTTTAAAATAAGTTACTGAAATTTAATTAAATTAAGTTTTATATTTTATAAACAAACAAGAATTTCATTTTGAAACTTCTATGTAGGAATATGGTAGCGGCCTTCTAGGTTCTCTACCAAAAGCTCACAGAGAGCGTCTAACAAAGGAACTGCAAGAAATAGTGCGTTGTATCAAAGAGCACAATGAGTCTGATGGAAGTAATAAGGAGTGTATAGGCAATAAATCCGCAAGCATGATCGAGTTAAAAACGCCTGAAAAAAGGTAACTGAAAACATTTTTGATACCTAAGTATTATTTTTTGTCTTACGGAGGGATATCTGTACATATAATAAAATTCTACCTGAGCCGAATCTGTACATGAAATATTTTTTGAAAAATCTTATTGAAATAGACATTATTATCGATACAGAGGATGAATCTATAGTTTTTAAAATTTTGTCTGTCTGTCTGTCTGCCTGTTACCGCATCACGGAAAAACCACTGGAGGGATTTAATGAAATTTGGTATGATGATAGCTAGTTATCCGGGTCAACATATAGAGTACTTTTTACCGTGGGCAAATATCTCATTTCTAAGAAAAAATACAAAAACTGCAATATAAGATACAGAGGATGAATCTATAGTTTTTAAAATTTTGTCTGTCTGTCTGTCTGCCTGTTACCGCATCACGGAAAAACCACTGGAGGGATTTAATGAAATTTGGTATGATGATAGCTAGTTATCCGGGTCAACATACTAATATGTAAAACCTAAGAATTTGGTTTTTGGTCATCTGAACGCGGGCGGAGCCGCGGGTAATGCTAGTACTTAATAAATACCAACAATCTCAAAAGTAAGTGTGATAAAGTAAGGTTTAGGTACCTGTTGTAGCACTTGTGTCTTTATTACAATACTTGGCCCTACCTTACCTAGCAGTAGGTATGTATCCTACACTATACTGATTAAAAATTTTAACCATTTCCTTTAAGGCTTTCCCAAATAAAATCCGAAATGCCAACTTGTCACCGTTCTTTAGACACGCTGACCACCGGCGCGGAGGACCAGCTCCCCGCGCCGGGCCCGCTGCAGAAACAACATACTGAAGACAATAGAAATACTAAAAAGGTTCTAAATCAATTTTTTGTAACGTATTTTTATAATTATATAATATTAAAGTCATTTGAAATTGGGAGTCCTGAGATGAATACCACTACCTATTTCTTAAATATTTTAGCGTCTAATTAGATATGTGCACATATTAAAATATATTAAAAAAATATTAATAATATTTAAAAATAGTTACAGTTAATGTGTCAAAGGCAAAGTACGTACACATTGTCTTCCACCCCTGGAAGTGCAAGGCGACGAAATAAAACATCTAGGTAGGTAATAGGTTTACATTATACCTAGTATCTAAGTATAGTGCCGTAACTGATTGAAAAAACGAAGTAGGTATCAATAATCTAATTTGTAGGACCTATATTAATATAAGTACTCTTTACCTCTTTACTTCTTAAAAGTGGTGATTAAGTTTTTATAAGAAAAAAAAATACTGATAAAAATTAAAAGCATTAAATACGGACTAGACGCTAGCACTTTACTATGTGTTTTTCTTTAGATGCGTTTATGTTTATTAAACAAATATTTAAATTTAAAAAGTTAATTTCGTCTTTCAAAGATGTATGGTTATGCTTTCAGTCCAATACAAACCCCATCAAATACAGTACTTGAGAGTTTGATAGCTGCGGAGAAAACAGCAGAAGAACTCCGGAACAGATTATCTAATGTCATAAAAGAATTCATTGAAGACAATAAACTCGATTCCTCCATGTCTTCTCTAGCCCTGGACGTCTCAAAAATATCAGTTTTAAAAGTAATTATCAAATTTTCTTTACAACACGCTTTAATAAGCTACTAGCGACTCACCTTCGCTCCGCTTGGGTTCGTCCCTACTTACGTTTTAACGTTTAGTATAGATTTTTGGGAAATGAGATATTTTCCCGCAGTAAAAAGTATTCTATATGTTGACCCGGATAACCAGCTATCATCATACCAAATTTCATCAAAATCCCTCTAGTGGTTTTTCCATGATGCGGTAACAGACAGACGACAGACAGACAGACAGACAAAAATTCTAAAAAGTATAGATTCGATCTCTGTATCAATAATAATGTCTATTTCAATAAGATTTCCCAAAAAATATTTAATGTACACGTTCGACTTAGTTACAATTTAATTATATGTATAGATAAGTTGCCATTAAGTAGAATGTTTCATTAATAGATTATATAGAACTTTTAGATTATATAGTCATAACTGCAAAAACTTTTACTACCTACCCACTTTTCAGGGCCCAGACTGTTCGAAGCCACAATTTGCATCAAGTCCTAATCTATCGGGCATGAGCGTTCAAGATGACTTCGCGAGAAGATTCAAGCGTGTTGACAGTGCGTCTACGTCCAACTTAGCGCCAAAATCTGCGTCAAAAGACGGAAAAACTTCCAAACTACGAAGGATATCTCCAAATTTGTTCAAACTGAGGAGCAGCCCTAGTGTAGCTAAGAACGATAAAGGAAAATCTAATGACAATAAGAGTAGCAAGTTAAATAGTAAGTTTTTCCAACGTGTATATGAAATTAACATATAAGTAAATGTTAGAGAATTACCAGGTTAGCGGTAATTATATTTCTCTTGTGGAGTTTCAACACTAACGAAAACGTAATAATAATAATTAATAAATAATTTTATAATTTACACTAACAATTGTAATTATTACCGGCTATGGATACTTTGATGTATATTTTCATAAAATTACTTATATTTAGACTGCACACTACGATTTTTAACACGCCGTCGCGTCGACGCGCTTATCAGGGACTTAAGGCCGCTATAATCATAATTTAGTCTATGGATGTTTATAAAAGTGTTATTATATTATAAAAGGCATTTTAAGCGTTCATTACTTCCGGAAACCGTTACCGAGGAAATCTAATTTCTGACTCTCCAATAGCAGATTTAGTGGAAATATACATAGAGCACTAAAGTGCCAAAAAATTTTTTTTTTCAGGTCTGTTTAAACCTAAAATTGTAGTACCAGTGCGGACAACCAAAACAACTACCGACGCGAGTCCCAACGTCAGTGCTTCAAGGAAGAAATTTAGTAACGTAAAATCTACAATCCCCAGACCTGCTTCTAAGAAAGAATAGTTTAAATTTAAATACTTCGTTTAATTTATAATAGCTGACTAAGTAAAATAAATTTAAATTTTAAATAAAATTTATTCCAATTTATTTAAAATATCTTCACTCTTGTACATAACACATTAATAGAAAATAGAAATTCTATTACAATATTAAAAAAAAAATCTTGGTAAAATATTATACTGAACGCACACAATATTTTAGTGTTAATTCATTTTAATGTTAATATATTCAGATTAACCAAAAATAAGTTCATTCTTTGAAACATAAATCGAAAAACCTTTACAATTCCGTAATATGTAAAATACACTATACATAATTTTTGACAAAACGTTCTAAAAGTAATATACTATGAAAGTTTCTTTAAAAAGTCAGACTTAATCCTCAGATCCATCGGAATTACTACAACTATGTATAAGTTTTTCAACTTCCCTTTCTAAAGTATCATTTCGTTCACTCTTTCTCTTTGACTTAGAACTTACATTTTCATTACAGATTTTATGACTTTTTCTAGTTTTAGACGACGATTTTTTTTTACTTTCATTTGAATATGTGGCTGCAGCAGAATGCATTATGCTTTCTATCAAATCGTCTTTTATTTCGTTTTTACTATGGTCTCCTCTATTTCGTGAATTACTCGATATTTTCTTTTTAAAATTATTACTTGTCACAGCGCTACATTTTTCTAATTCTCCCTCCGAACTACTATCAAAATCTAAATCAGAAAGATTTTCGGCTTTACTCCTTTTATTTATTTCTTCTTCCTGACATTTTCTCGTAAGTTCTTTAAGAGTACATTTTTCTTTTTTGTGACAATTCGTTTGGTCTTTCTTTGCTAACTTTAGACAAATCGTCGCCTTTGGATAGCCACTAAACTGTTGATAACAACTTCCCTTGTCTAAGGCCACAAACGAATTAAAAAATCGTCTGGGATGTATATCTTCAGGCGTATCATTAAGCATCATGTAAGCTTTCTTCAAAAAAGTTTTCTTATCTATAGGATTCTGCATATGAAAAAAATTTTCAATCTGTTCATGACTGTGCAGTCTTCTAAGAGCATTCTTTTGAACAATATTATAAGAAACTATGGCCATAAGTATAAAAGCTGGCTCATTGCTAAGTATATGATCCCAAAGTATTAGCCATTCAGAGCATGTAAGTACTTCACTGAATGCTGTTTCTAAAATTTTCAAAGCATATATTTGACTAGTAACACCTAACTCACAAAAATGGTCTAATAATTGTGAGTCATGTTCCGCTAGAATATTTTCAACCATTGCCAAAATACTAATTGGAGGAAAGGGTGCATACTCAAACCAAAGCTGACACTGATTTAGTAGAACTGTGGCTACACATTCAAATAATAAAAGAGGATCTTTTTGAAGTACTTTTACAAATGGGAATACAAAACTAGGCAGAAATTTCATTACACCAAATAGCGGGCACCAGTGTGCAAGACAAGACAATAGCCTTTTTAAATTTTTTAATGTAATTGAATTATGTATTGTAAATTGTTTTTCAATATCTTTATATGCTGCATGAATTCCCTTATCCACTAAAGATGAATATGCTATTTTATTCCTTGGAGTTACTAAAAGAGATCTCCAAATGATTGAGCGGAACTTGTCAGGGTATTCCCCATATTGCATCAATATTCTTCTCAATCTGGCACTATCCATACATTTTCTCATCCTTTGTTCAATTTCCTCTCTTTTAGGTGAATCTACACTTTTAGAAATCATAGAAGAACAAGGTAGTTCTTTCTTAACTGTTTCAATAGGACATTGTTTTAAATCCATTACATGAGAAGTATTGTAAATATTAACTTCTCCTTGTTGTAAAATACAAAGAAAGTATTTCCCAGTAGGGCTCACAACAAACTTTCTAATACCTGAAGAATCTGGTTGTATAGTATGTAAAACTTTAAGAGATTCTAAATCTAGAAAATATAATTTGCAGTCACTACTTAATAATGCCAGCATTTTATTACTGCCACCATCAAACATTTGTGGAATAAAAGACACTTGTTGTACTCCTGAAATCTTATATTTAAGTAAATTAATAGATTTCAATGCCTTCCAAGTGTCCATACTGAAAAGGATCAATATTGGAGCCAGACCTGCCATGGCCATTGCTCTACCATTCATTGTAAATGCAACATTTTTTAAATGTTTCAATTCGCTTGGTATAATTTGTTTCACTGATTTCATTGTTTCATGTCTCCATATTTGAACAGTGTCATTTTGAAAACAAGCCACTAAGTAGTCACCAGCAGGTGTAAATAATATTTGCTGAATTTGAGCACCGGAGTATGTGTTAAGAGTAAAATATTTTGTATAATTTTTAAGTTCCCATAAAATTGCCTCTACTGAACTAGCAGTAAGTAAGTTATTGATTTTGTTGTTGGAAAATGAGATGTGTTTAATTGGTGCGGTATGTCCAAGCAAGGAGAACCTATGTTTACCAGTTTCAGAATCTATAAAATTAATCTCGAATTTCTTGACAATAGCAACGACGAGTGTATCAAGAGCATGGGGAACAAATTGCAGTGCAGAACACGGTCCTTGGTTAGGTAATTTCCAAAATTTTAAATCTGCAAAATCTAATACAAAAATATTTCCTACGTTATCAGCGCATGCTAGCTTATCATGAGTATCTTCAAAAATACCAATAGAAAATCGGATACGTCGAGTTTCTCCGTTTGATGCACGAATTGTATGGTGAAGTTGCAATATGACTCCATCTTTTGGCTTCGATTTCAACTTAATATCATATTTTTCTATATTATCGCCTTGATTATCAGGTTCCATTTGTAAATTTTATTATTTGAGTTTAACATTATAATCAATTTCAAAGGAAATCATCTTAACTCCTCTAATTGTTTTAATAATTTAAAATTTGGCGGAGTTTCAAATCAAAACAAAAACAATCTGTCAGCTTTGTCATTTCTCATTAGGTCTAGATATTTTTAAAGTGTTTCCCACTAACAAAATACAAAAATGAAAATAAGGTATAGGATACACTTACCAAAAGTATACTTTCGATTATTTTTAAAATATAGTACTTTCAAAAAACTATAAAATCGAATCTATTTAATATGTTGTTTCATTTAGCTAATACTTTGTTTAGTCACGTATAGTAACTTTATTGTAAGATCGTGAACATCTTTGTAGCGATCTCCAAGCAGTCTACAATCACTAGTTTTTCCGGTTGGTAATTACTGGTAACAGGATGTCTAACAAACACCAGTATATTCAGGCTATTCCCGTATCATAAGCAAATACAAAACAGGTGACATATTATACACTAAGCTACTTCTCAACAAGTTGTAAGTGTTTATAGAGCGGAACTGCTACACTGAAGGGATAAGTTTTGGTTGGCTTTATATTACTATATTATTTAGTTCCTACTATCTTCTGCCTACGACTTTACATGCACATAATAAATTAACGCAACAACATGATCCTCCACTTACTGTTGAGCCATATACATAGGAAAGTTTAAAACGTATCTAGTACTACTCTTATTACTAATTACTCAAGTAATAAAAGATATTTCTCTTGTTAGTTTATGTCAAGGAAGTTCAATATTATTATTCAAATATTAAGGTAGACAGAAATAAACATAATATATAGGTATGTAACAGACTAATGTAATAACTCAAAGTTCATAACACGATCAGATTTAAAAATAGATATGCATCGATACAGTAACCGCACCAAAAAAATGTTTGATTACCTATATGATTTAATTATAAATTACCTATATAATATATAGCATGAAATTGAAAAAGTAATTATAGCTCGTTTAGTAACTGGCTTCATTTACTACAACTCACTTGCTATCTCTAATTAAAGCGGTGCAAATGTAACTACTTATAAACAAATAAAGGTTAAAATAAATAAATTGCCATATCAAAGTAGCTGCGACTGGCGACCTTGACTTCACAAAGAATCCAGTCTGTGTTCACCGGCCGGCGACCAAACTCGTTATACTACCTTATTTCCATAAAGAACGTAAAATAGAAATACACATTAAAGACGACACTTTTAAAGTGAAACTCCGAGAAAACTGACGTGCCTGGAAAAATGAAGTCTTTTATAGAATATTCTGCGAATACTGATTTTCCTATAGAGAATTTGCCTTACGGTGTATTTACATCATCTAAAAATGTAAGTGCAGATTAAAAATCTTGTTTCGTTACTGTTTGACGTTTGCTATCAAAATGTGTTTTTTTTTATAACTTTGAATGACCTTTATTCTGTAAGAATTATGAATGAATTTTGATGAGCAATTTGTTATCAACGGGATTTCTTTGCACTAATCTTTATTGGGTACTTTATTTTTTGTGTGTGAAAAAATGTTTTATTATATTAAATACTTAATTGAGACTACCAATTTAAAAATATTAAGCAATGTTAAGCATTGAAATACAAGCGTACTTTAATAGCGTCACGATAAAAGGCCGGAAGTTTTCAAATGAATACATGCTATATAATTTACATAGCAGACTATCATTATCATAGATTTCTAGATATTACACTATTTAAATTTAGAGTTTACTATTAAGTAAGGATATGTTTGTGGAATATTTTAATTACGAAAATTTTAAAAGTAGGTATGCCAAATAACAATCTTAGGGAGATATTAATTACGTGAGACAATTTTGGCGATTTTTCGACCCCCTTTCCCTCCTTGGTAAGATTTCGTGAGATCTTGCTCGAACCACTACCCCCTCTCATAATTTCACGTGAGATATGTTTAAAAGGGTATTTGCAATGTAAATGAGTTAATTAATATGTGCTTCGATTACATTAGATTTATTTAAAAAAAAAACAATTTTCTTAAGTTTTTTTTTATTTAAGACTTTTAATGACGTAGCATAGAATCACAATGAGAAAATCTATACTTAAAATAAAACTGTAGAGGTCGAGTGTCTGTACATAGAAAAAAAATGCTAAAAACCACCAGACACAAACCAGAGTCAGGGGGATATGAGAACTCAGAAGAGAAATAGAAAAAATCCAATTTTTTTCATTTTTTTTGTTACTCTGTATGTTTGTACGGGCTAATCTCCGAAACTGTTGGACCGATTTAAATGAAATTTTGCATGGTGGTACCTTATATCAACATCTTAGATACCTTTCATCCCGTCAACATTTTAGACTTAAAAAACTATAGTAACTTATAATACTATAGTAATTTAGTATACAAAAACTGCTGATTGGATTTTAATGAAACGTTACTATAATATAGTTCATACATCAGAATAACAAATAGGCTACTTTTTATTCCGGAAAAATGTACGGTTCCCGTGGGATATATTTGTTTTTGTTTGCCTAGAGGCGAACCCGCTAGTCAAACAATAAAATACTTAAATAGGAAATATTAAAATTCTTCAAAGAATATTATTATATAATATATTTATTGAATGTTAAGAAATATTTGTTCATATTTGATAAATGAATGAATTGTTTCCAAAAATTATTATTTATGATTTAGCCATATTTTAGTGGAGAAACATTGTTTACTTAACCCAACTTTCTCGCAATTTGGCACTTTTTCTTACGGAAAAAATTGCGTGATATTTGCCGAGACCTCCCCACGTGAGATTGAGTGACGTTTTGCTCGACCCCCCCCCCCCTACTTACTACTTAGTTGACAGTTAACGCAATGCACTATTAAAATTAATTACTAACCTACATAATACTTAACAATGTAAGCTTTATTTTTCCGAAATATTATCAATCAATCAATCAGCTTATCACCGTCCACTGCTGAACAAAAGCATTTTTTTTAACGTTGGGAAATGCATTTACGCACGAAGCAGACCACAACAACCATGGGGTTGCTCCAAGGTCCACTCTGCTATCAGAGAAGTACCAGGAGCAACCCGCATGGTACACCGCCCTCCGAAGAGGGCCGCCTCCCACCGCCCACCGAAGCGACCTCCCTGTGTGTTTCTTGGCTTCGCGCCCGGCTTTGCTGACAAAGGCATCCCCCAATGATTCTGTCTACCAGAGAAACTCCAAGCATCGCGCGTTCCATTGCTTGGCGTGCGACCTTGAATTTGTGGACCAGCCCTACGGTGAGTGTCCACGTTTCGGCTCCGTATGTCATTACGGGTAGAACACACTGGTTAAATATCTTGGTCTTAAGAGATTGTTGGATAAATGACTCTAGAATATGACGAAGCTTTCCAAACGCCGCCCAGCCCAAGCGTATTCTTCGTTTAGCGTATTCCTGTACAACTTCAAGAACACCGCCATTCACGATCACTGGTCTCGGGGATACATGACAACTCGACATGATTTTGGTCTTGTCGAGATTCATCCTGAGACCCACCCACTTTGAAGAATCGCCTAGGCTGTTTAGCATTTCTTCCAGAGTCTCTGGCATGATGACTATGTCATCGGCAAATCGCAGCTGTGTCATATAACTACACTTCACATGTCACTACCGCGCTCACGCGCTCTCCTCGCATATAGTCAGCGTCAACAAAGGTACATCTTCTGAATAATGTTGCCTAAAGTCTTATCTCTAGAGGTTTTTATTTTTATTTTTTCGATATCTTATTTCGTTTTTGAGATATGATTTTTTTTCTGACCGAAACCGAGCGAAAAGGGACCGATGTTATATACGAGAAATATTATATCTATATCAAAAGTAAAGGTATGACTATCATAGAATTAACTATCCGAGACTCAAGGTTTTACGAACGGGTGCTATTAACATCCTTAACTAGATGGAATATAAAATTGTATTTTACCTGAAAATTATTAGTAGATAAAGTAATTTTTATCAGTAAACTGTGCGTTTAACAGCAAAATAATAAGTTGCGTACTCATGTAACGTACCCTCAGTAAGACCAAGAAAGGAATTTTGAAAATAACTTCAGTAAGGTGGACAAATCTGTACATAAAGCTAAGAAGCTTGTAATTATTTTGTTTGGAAGCGCTAATCTCTGAAACTATCAGTCCTATTTGCTAAATTATTTTTGCATCTTTTATGTAGTCTATTGACGAAGGTTTTAGGTTTACAACAACAACTACAAACGTTAAGACCAGAACGATAATAAATAGGATTTACGAGCGAAACCGCAGGCAAACGATAGTATTGGATAAAGTATTTAGAAATTCGTGATTACTTTCGGCAAAGGAGCGCCTATACCTGATTCATAAATTACATGTTATGTATATAATATTTAAATTATATTGTTTACAGGCCCAGAAGCATATTGGAGTGGCGATCGGAGAATGGATTCTAGATCTAAACGCAATTTCGCATTTATTTACCGGACCGCTTTTGAAAGATAAACAACATGTTTTTAAGGTCTGTTTTTAATTAATTGCATTACTTGTTATGTTAATTATTAGTAGCGTTAGAAGGTTATCATCACAATATTTTGTATTGCGAAACAATAAACAATTCAACTTTCCAGCTTAAGACGTATATTTATTTTTTAAATTTAAAAGTATTAGTTGTTTTCAATATTAACTTTTTTAAATTATTACAGGAGGCAAAACTAAATGCGTTTATGGGCCTAACTAAGCCACATTGGATTGAAGCAAGAAATACAATTCAGAAACTTCTTGATGTCAGTAATACCAAACTGCAAAATGATAAGGACTTGCGACAGAAGTAATTATTTCAATTTTTTAATTTATCTTCCTTAAAATTACTTTAGACTGAGATATTTATTATAATATAGTACCTATCTTTATCTAATATTATAAATGCTAAAGTATATATGTCGATCTATTCTTTCACGCAGCATTTGAGCAACAAGTTGTAATTTTTGGCACATATAGATATATTTAATAGCATAGGCTTGTAATGCTGTAAAGCTGTATAGTAAATATCGCTGAACATATTCCATGCGATTGCGAAAGTTCGTATATTTGTTTATGTTTGTTATTTTCTCATGTTGAAACGTCTGAACGGATTTAGATAAAAATTTGTACACACAAAAATTATGAGTTGGGGAAACATAAGCTACAGTTAGTGGGCCTATGGCCAACCCTACGGCGAAGGGTGCGATAATAGAAGCGCGACGGTGGCACCATATCAAAAAGTTCATCAGAACACTCTCCATTGTATAGATTTAGAAAACACACTGCCAACATCTCTCCGAAGGCTTAGAGTTTCTAAGTCGTCTGTGAGTATGGGATCGTCGACAATACGAACTGCCCCGCGTTAGATAGAGTCAAATGGAAGAAGCTGGTATTGGGGGGCGCTATCCCAGAGATGAGAACAGAGAGGGCGGACCTGCGCTTTATAAAGCGATGCCCTGACGTGAAATACTGTTTCGCTCTGTTAAGCACACTCATTTTTTTTGAAGCCAATTTGGCTTTCTCTTCCAGATGACATCTAAATTGGACGTCGCTCGATATTTCGACCCTAAGATCCCGATACTCTTACTGATGTTAAGAGGAGTGTTCTGGAACTTTGGCGCTATAATAAATGGGTATTTTTTAGTGGTGAACGCACAAACTTATACGCTCCATTGTAAAACAGTCTCTATTAAAATACTTACATATTTTCTATTCTATTTATAAATATGTAGGTATATTCTGTAATTATTATTATAAAAAAATAATAAGAAAAAAACAAATATTAACGGAACTCTATTTTTTCTTTATTTTACTTCATATTTGGTTATAGGTTTTTATTAATTATGAATTCTAATATTAACGTAGATATTTCACATTAGTCGGGCGTCCCGTAACGGCCAACTTTTCTTATTACAAAGGAAATCGCTATTTCTTTTTTTAGCGATTTCCCCGTAATCTCTTTGTGTATGAAACCAAAAAAATTAAGTTAAATCATAGTAAGGGTGACGTCACTATATACCTAAGCATGGTTCACAGTTTTACGATGTATTTTAAAGGTTTGACTTTAATATACTAACTTCTACCACACACAGGCTTTAAAGCGGTCGCACTATGAGTTTTCAGTTTTTATTGAATTCTTAGCTTTTAGAAAAAAAAACATTCCTTATTTTTTTTAATGTAATACATGAAAATAGTAATACATTCAATACCTAAAATCTTTCGCTATTCTAATTTCAGGGCATTTATTAAGCAAAGCGATGCTACTATGCATGTTCCGGCTGAAATCGGAGACTATACAGATTTCTACTCTTCGATTCACCATGCCACTAATGTCGGCATCATGTTCAGAAGCAAGGAAAATGCGCTTATGCCAAACTGGTAACTGCAAAACTTGTTATAACAATAATAACTTTAATGATATAGAAGAATTAATCAATATCTATAGTTTTATTTAATTTTTTTAACGGCACAATAGGTATTTTATTATGAGAAAGGACAATACCGTAAAATTTACAAATATGCTTAACTATTTCAATATGTACATTTTTTTTAGTATCAGTGTACATTTAAATAATAAATGCATTCTTTTTATTTAATAAATATGTCTTGTCTTCTATAGTTATCGATAATAATATCATTTTTCCATTGTTTTCAGGAAATATATACCAGTGGGATACCACGGTCGGTCCAGCTCCATTGTTATATCGGGGACACCCATAACAAGACCTTTGGGCCAAACTCTGCCTGTTGAAGGTAATGTATTGATTGCAAGCAAAAACAACTATTTAGACTAAAAATCTTTCATTTCTTCTAACGCTAAATAGTAAATGTGACCTGATTATTTTATTTTTAGGAGCTGATCCTCATTTTGGTCCTTGTCGGTTGATGGACTTCGAACTGGAAATGGCTTGCTTTGTTGGAGGCCCACCGACTGCTCTCGGAGAGCGAGTCACCGCCAAACAAGCTGAAGAACGTATTTTCGGATTCGTTCTTATGAATGATTGGAGCGGTTCGTGCATCATTATTCCACTAGGATCAATTATAGCTAAATAATATATTTTAGATATTACTTGGGTATTTTTAGTTAAAAAGAAATATTTGTTCTTTGTTTAGATACTCCTCAGTCATAATAAGTACGATTTTGTGTATTTAATTAATATAATTTATTTCAGCGCGTGATATTCAAAAATGGGAATATATTCCTCTTGGACCTTTCACATCTAAGAACTTGGGAACTTCAATTTCGCCCTGGATCGTGACTGTGGAAGCCTTGCGTCCCTACATCGTCGACAATTACCCACAGGACCCTGAACCTTTCTCATATCTGCAGCATAACGATAAATTTAACTTTGATATAAAACTGGAAGTTGATCTAAAAAGTGAGTTTCGACTTTTGGTCAATTCTCCAAATATTCAAAACAACCAAAAAGATTGATTAAAGTGAAATTCTATATCATTAAAGAATAAAAATACATTCTAAAACACAGTATTACAAAAAATATTAACTTTTGCAGCCGAGAAGTCTCCGGTAATTACGACTATATGTCGTTCTAACTATCGCTTTTTGTATTGGACTGTAAAGCAACAGTTGGCCCAGCAAACTATAACTGGTTGCAATTTACGTCCTGGAGATTTACTAGGCACTGGCACCATAAGTGGTGATGTAAGTATATTATTTTCTTTGCTACATTAATAATATTATCTACATTTCTTATAATGAATAATGACTTGAAATAATACTTATTTTTCGCAGACATCAGATTCATACGGCTCTATGCTAGAACTTAGCTGGAAGGGTACGAAACCGCTACGTTTGCAGAGTGGCGAAGAAAGAAAATTCTTACAAGATGGTGACAGTGTTATCCTTCGAGGATACTGCGTTAACGAAATGGGACTTCGTATCGGATTTGGAAAATGCGAGGGCAAACTGCTCCCTGCTCTTCCTTTCAAAGAATAATCACCTTTACCAAAAATATTTTACACCATTCTGATTTTTTTGTCCCTTATGTCACTGCCATGTGTGTTTTTTTTGAAAGCAAAAATTTGTGAGTTTTTACCAAATAAAGATGTAGTATTGTTTTGTTAAAATTAGTTTTATTCATTTTTTCTGCATAATCACGCACAATAATACTTGGATTTTATAAAGTTATATAAATTAAACAAATATATATATATATATATATATATATATATATATATATAACATTAAAAAACTATTTTAGATAATTCAAAAATTAACTTTCATACTGAAAAAAATTGCTAAAAATTACATTCCGTATGTCACAACTCTCTGTTTGTTAAAGGAATGCATCTAACTTCATCATGTCACTTTTTGGCTGTCGGTGTGCGCGCTCATTATAAAAAAATTTACTCATAATTTTCTCCAAATATGTCAAAAGAAGTATAACTAAAAGAAATTGTAGTGGTAGATAAATAAATTAAATCTACCTCCTTTATTTATTAAAGCAGTAAGCCTTGCGCCTAGTTATTTTATATAACAAACATATTTTTTCTTATTCTTTCATTATAAACAAGAATATTTGAAAATTCTTAGAGTTGCATTAAGATAAGCATTTAAAGAGTAAATTTGAATGCAGTAAAACAATATATATTATAAAAAAAACTTGGGTTTTATCTCCCCATTGTTTTGAGTAAGGTAGATGGATGGATCGTGAAGAGGACAGTCATAGAAGTCTGAAATGGCATTTTAGTTAGCTGTTTAAATACGATTCCCATCTTTGTGCTCGCAGCAAATCAATTAACATATTTCCTATTTTTTATCATAAAGCCAAACACCACTTTCTGTATATTTGACAGTATTTAATACAATTTGTAAATCCTTATTTTATCCACTTAGGGGAAGACTTTCGAAAAATTCTTTCTTATCGGATGCCTACATCATTCTCGTATAAGGAATAGATCCTCCAAATTTCACGTTTTCATCCATGTGTGTTGATACATCAGTCAATCAGGACCACCATAAGATGCACCTCTCCTTCTTAATTCTTCCGTCAGCTGGTCCTACTTCCATGTACAATACATTGCACAGGTAAGATGCGAACACAATAGAAGCAAAAGTCAAAAACTAAGTACAAGGATATCTTCATAAATTGCTCAGACTGAATGTAAATAGGCTATACGTGTGGCGCCCTCCTTTCGAGAAATCTTTCCCATTCTGTTAATCTGATCGTTCTCTTACAAAAACAAACAAGTACATACAAGTCGTATTTACAATATTTAATCAACTAAGAAACGTGACGACGTGACATTAAAATCATATTCCATGGTTACCAAAACTTTTAAAATAAATAATCAAATTAGTAACAATTAATAATAAATTAGACTAGGTACTATTAAAGGTATAGCTAAAAGGCAATTTTAAATACATTTTTATTTAATGGCAATAATGCAGAAATGTTGCTATACAACAATTAAAAGTCATGGTATTTTTAAACAAAAAACACATTTAAAAATACTTTTAATAATTCTTACATTTTCAATTTTCTAAAAATATTCACTTGTTTAAAAAATAATTAATAGTGTATATTTTATCTTTCTAACATTGATTTCTTCATTGTGTATACATGGCTTTAAAAAGCTCATTAATTTTACGGAGTAGGGTAAATATTTCACTATCGTAAAGTTAGGTATATATTTAAGTTAGAGCAATGTTTCAAGAATAAGAAATTTAATTATGAATCATAGTTTATACTGATGCAAGCAAGTACAAACTTTATCAATCACCGAGTCAAGGCTGAGCATTCATTTAACTCTCAGAGAAATTGTACCTATATTTATATAAAATAATTTTATCAGTATTATTTTATACAATTCAAGTAATTGTATTTTCCCCTAATTCATTAGTAAAATCATAGTTATAAAACAGTCAAAAAATAACACGACTCTAATTAGCTTAATTAAGAAATTTTAATTTTGCTACTTTTATACATAAAACTAATATTATTAATTAATAACTTATGATAAATATATATCTTTTAATAAATAAATACACCCATTTCATAAATTCAATCCGGTAATACAAGTTAGCCTACGGTAATGCGGTACAAGATAAAAAGTAAATAGAACAAACCCACCTTAATATTAATATTGCTTGTGGTGTGGGTAATGGGTAGAAATATTATTCATGCAAACGCTCATGCGCCCTTCTCTTTCAAGTCTGCGTTATAAATAATAATATTAGATATGTATGTGTTAGTAACATACGTATACTGTGTATGATGTTTACAATTCCACCCCCGGCATATTGTATAACGCACTGTAGGCGCGTATAGTATAGGTAGAAATGCATTCTGCGGCAGGTACTTGTAAACGAAAGGATGGTCGATGGAATCTAATAAAAAGAAGACTGTCTGAATCCGTCTATTATATCTATTGTCTATGTGTGCGTCAGTCTCTACATGTTGTGAAAAGAGATTGAAGTACTTTTTACACACATACTTACACCCGACAATTTATTATTAGGAAGGGGCCAAGTTGGGTTGAATATAAATATTGAAAATATAAAAATAAATATATTTTTTCTGTAGTAATAAAAAATTTACGTGCCGCTGCAGACTATCCCGGCATTGCAGTGGGCATCTTGATTTAAAATTTACAATTAAATTAACTACACCTGTGCAACGAAAATCAATGCAGGTGTTTCATGCAAGAAGTCGAATAAATACATCGTCCGTCTCGATATTAAATTATAAAATGACTAGCATAAGTTAAGTTTGAACCTTTTCACTCGGAACGTATGAACGTTAGTGTACAATTTATAAAGTTGTATATATTTAATTACGGTATAATAAAGCATGCGGGGGGGCGAGGCGGCGCGCCGCGCTCTCATATTCCGTATATTGATTGTGTGCGAGGGGGCCGGGGCAAGGAGGGGGCCACGGCGTGCCCCACTCTGTTTTTTACGACACGGCTTTCTGTGTAACATAATAAGTATTTAAAAATTTTGTGAAATGTTTCGGTGTTATTTGTGAAAAATTGGGAAGTCGGAAAAGTGAATACGAGGTGAGAATTTTTTAATGCGATGATTTAATTCAAAATTTCCGTTTTGCCGAATATAATATAAATAAAATTTTATAGCTCTAAATTCCGTCGGCGGCGCGTACCTACAGTATTACACTGTCATACCGCGTACGTATAGTGTTTTTTACGGGCATCGTTCTAAAAATAAGTTGTAATAATTATAATTTTATGTAGCGGTCGCAGCAGAGACGGTTTTCTGTCGATTTTTTTATTTAACGTGCAGAAGTGAGTGATTTGTGCCTGATAGTGTTTGTGGCGGTGCAGATGCAGGGGCTCGTGAGCGACAAGACGTTCCACTTGAAGTGGAACAACCACCTGCAGAACTTGAGCCAGCTGTTCACGACCATCTACTCGTCGTCAGCGCTCGCAGACGTGACGCTCTCCTGCCGCGATGGGACTCTCAAGGCGCACAAGCTCGTCCTCTCGGCGTGTAGCCCTTACTTCGAACAGATATTCAAGTGAGTTCATTGATCAAAACTTACATCTTAGCTACATTTATTTATTATGAGTAATGGTCATCGTTTATTTTAGAACATCATAATGAAGCAAGTTATAAAGAACAACCCAAATGCAATAAATTTAATACATAATTTTGTTATATAAATGTAAATGCTGTAACTCATAAAAATAGTTTTATCATAAGATAAGAAAAAAATTAATGTTCACTAATATTATATAGATAATTTATTATTCAATTTATAAATTCTTGCTGATAAAGTTGTTATTTTGTTATATATTACTTTTAAATTTTCCTGCTAGGGACAACCCTTGTCAGCACCCCATCGTAATACTGAAAGGAATACCATTCTCGGAGATAAATCTACTGGTTGAATTTATGTATAAAGGATCAGTGGACGTACAGGAGTTGGACCTTCAGTCCTTGATGCACACAGCTTCTGAACTAGAGATACGAGGGTTAGCATATGAGGCTCGAGATAATGCAGCACAGCTATTGAATGTGAATTTGGAGTATCCCTCCTATGGACAGAATGCGGCCACAGCGGCAGCTGCCACAGCAACTTCAGTTTCCACTTCTCAGACATACCCACAGGCTCGGACTGATGTGGAAAGGTTGAAACAGGTGAGTTTTAATATTTGTTTTAAATTCCTCATAATATGTAAGGATATATAATGAAATTAGTAGAGATATGTTTATATTATGAATGTAAATAATGAGTATTGTTGTGTCTTTCTTAATATTACTTTATTATGTTTGAAGTATTTAATTTAGCATTTTTATAAATGTTTATATTACAATATTTCCTTACATATAAACTATTGATGCACCTTTATTGTAATGCAGCACAATTTTTGAAAGTTTTGACAAAATCCAATAGCCGAACTTACATACACTTTTAAGGCTAACTTATATTGAATAAATAACAACATATTTAGTTAGGATTCAATTTTTTATATAAAAGCACTTGAAACCTCAGATTTTTTGACACTTACATAGAAAAAAATTCTTGGTTAATACTTAGTTATTTAGTTAGCAAATTATGGTGTAAAAAACATCACATATAAATTTATTTGTGAAATTTTTTAATATTTTTTCAATTCAATTTAGCTTTAATTTGGTTTTTGTTCACATTTTATTATATTTTGGTAGGTTTCCATAAATTAAATCAAAATTATATACATATAAGAGTAATTCACTAAAATGTAAATTTTTTGCTAGGCAAATTTAATACAACAATATAATTATATATTATTACATACATACATATATATGATTTTGAATGTTACACTTCTTTTAGTAACATTAATAATATTATATTTATTGAACTTCATAAGAACTTGTTCAATCTTATAAAAAAGTAAAAAAATTAAATTGTTATTCAAAATGGCTGCTTCAATTTATTTGTAGCAGTTATTACATACAATGTTTATTATACATAATTAGCTCTAGGCATGAGTGAATGTTACTTTAATTAATAGTTATAATTTGTTTTTGTATTACTTTGAGTTAGCGTTTTAATATCTTCTATCCTTTAAAGCAATACATCATTTATAGGTAATCTAGCATTGAATCTCTATTAATAGTTTATGAAAAATGTTTTTTTTTTATATAAAAAATATATTACTTGATTATTATTATAGAATAATTAATATGAGTTAATTTTTCATAAAAGGATATTACAAAAATACAAAAAATAACTATCAATTATATGTATATATCTATCTTCTATATAAATAAAAATGAATTTTGGTAAGCGCATAACTCAAGAATAGCTGGACCAAATCAGCTTATTTTTTTCGGTATGTTCCTTAAAGTCCACGGAAGGTTTTAATAAAGAGAAAAAATGAAAAATTAACGAAAAAAAAATTATACCTAACTCTGGCTAATAACTATTTATATCTATTTAAAACGTACCTAGGTTTAGTAATATGATATTTTAAATTACGAAATGAGGTCAATTAATACATTATTTACAAAGGCATTAGGTTAAATATCATGTATTATGTTAATAAATGAGAAAAATATTAGTGCTTATGTATCGAAGGATAGACGTATATAGAAGTATAGGAAGAAAGATAGAATGTACACAATAAGGACATCTTATCGCCTTACACTGATTAGCAATATAAACCTTCGGGAGTCGAATCCGCATACTCTGGCTAGCAGTTACATGGGTGTTAAATATTAATAAAGCCATAAAAATATATCAAAAATAAAATTCTTCAAAATATTTTTGATATTTATAGTTATTATATTTTTAAGAAAATAATAGGGGGATTTGCTTCATACTAATTAATTAGATTAGTACTTTAAATGTTTTTACTGGTATCGTAAGCTTTTATTAAGCAAAACCTCATAATATATGGTTAGTAAATGTAATAAAAGACTTTAATGGACGATGTTAAATGATTTAGGTATATTCGGTACAGTTCAAATTAAGTTCATAAAAATCCTTATAATTTGTAAGTAATTAATAGTAATTTAGGACAAAAAAGGCAGTTAAGCTTGATTCTTATCTCCGAGAACACTAATCAATTCAGCTTGTGTGGTTATTTAGCATAAACCCGAGTAAGTTCTTGAATTAAAATGTAAAAATAAAAGATAAAAAAGAAAAATTACAAACAGTCTCTGAATATTTTAATTTAAACAAAGGAGAGTAAATTCCGTGCTTTCTGGCGCTTCTATAAAAACTATAAGTTATAACCAAACGACTGTAAGCCGTACATTTCTGTACACTTTTCTAATAATAAATAATCGTATTAGGTGATTGTATATTTGTTTTATAATTTTTCTCAAACCTCCAACTTTCCAATGAAACAGTGAACAGGAACCATTGTTGCATGGACAAGTATACATGTACCTACTATAGAAATATAAATAATCTCAATAGACTGGTCCGAACATGGCCTTACATTATCTTGATGATAATTAAGTTTAAAAAAGAGAGTTTGTGTTTTTTCCTTTAGAAGCGTCGAACTAAAGCGGCTTATAGATAGAAAGATGCGTTGTTGTTCAACATTATGGTTGTGAATAAAAGTAAAAAAACTCCCGATCGGTCATCGGAGTTGAGTCTTTGTTATTTTTGTATATCTTTGCCTATAAAAGTAGTCATAAAATATTAAAAATACAAGAAGGGATTTTCAAAACTGAATTGTTTATAATTAAAAACAAATGGTAAACATTTTTACTTTATTGTGAATATACGAAACGCATTGCCTTCTCAAACTTTATTTCATAAACGTAGAAATGAATGAATACGTAATTTATGATTCAGAAGTTAGGAAAATGTCTAAATGTAAAGGGATATCGTTAAAATTATTTCCAAAACTAGCGACTCACCCTTGCTCCGCTCAGTTTCGTCCCTAGGTACATTTTAACGGTTAGTATAGATTTCTCCGAGATGAGATATTTTTCCGCATTAAAAAGTATCCTATATGTTGACCCGGATATCCAGCTATCATCATACCAAATTTCATCAAAATCTGTCCAGTGGTTTTCTCGTGATGCGTTCACAGACAGACAGATAGACAAAAATTCTAAAAACTATAGATTCGGCCTCTGTATCGATAATAATGACTATTTTAATAAGATTTTCCAAAAAATATGTACAGATTCGACTCAGAATTTTATTATATGTCATAAAAGACAAAGGGGTTTAGTTTTGGAAATTGTCAATAAAATAAATTGCCGGGCAATGCCTAATTTCTATAGTTAAACTTTTAAAAGGAGTTGAGTCTTAAAACATAAAAAAGAATGTATAGTTTTTTGTGTAATATTATTTTTCAAGCTCAATCGCAATGAAATCAGATGTTTTTATATTGATACTGCGTTGTTTAAAATGAAAATAAAACATTCATTGTTTAAGTCTGTTGTGGGTTGAGTGGTAATGAATAAGAAATAAAATAATATTGCGCGCATTCTGTTAAACATTTGCGATATATTTAACATATAAAATCAAAATATCATGCTATTAAAATGTATTTTTTATTTTTTTATAAATTGACGTCAGACACAGGTACCTATATTACAAAATAACAAACAAGCATGCTAGATAATTTGACCTTAAAAGCTCAAAAAAAAAAGTTGAAAAAATATAAAATGTCTGTGGTCGGTTCGTCTGTTATTTTAAAAACTCATTCAATTAAAGCAAAATATAATAAAAGTTGTTATGTATTTTAATTAAAAATATTTAAATAATGATTTTCGGTACACTTTGATTGTCTTTGATATAACGAAATTCAATATATTAAATGATTTTGTCAATTTGTTTTATTAAAACACGTATTTTGTAGATGATTTCATTATCATCAAATACATACATAATTTAAATTTAATTTATCATTATGACGTACCTACATAAGAAATATCTTATGGCTTATAAATTTTTTTGACTTTCTACCAAATAACAAGAATTGTTAACCGGTTTTATAAATTAACATAAATTATTATGGTTTTTCCCTATAAAAAATTATATGATAAAGTTATAAAAGTAATTTCGAAATTATATAGAACGTCTGGCTAAGTTGACAACTCTCTACCTGCTTGCGAAGAATTGCGAAATAGATTCATTATTGAGAAACAATACAGAATTTTCCATTATTAAATTATTGTACAAAACTAAACTTTTCCTATGTATGAATTTAGTATATTTTACGTCTTACACGTGATTGCTAAATTGAATGAAATGACGTAATGGCAATGAGTCAGTTTTCTTCAAACCGTCTGTAATTATATTCTAGTTTTGTATATAAAGCTTTTTATAATAATTGAGCGACTAATAATAACTATAACATTAAGATTTCAGCACTGCATTATGTTTAATGCACCGGGATAAGAACAAGTGAAACAAAATTTTTTTTTTTTAAATACAATAAAGCTGCAATGTAAAACCTTTTTAAATTTTATCCTCATTCAGATATAAAAGATCGGCCTTTATAATGTAAATTATTAATTTTTTAAAGCTCAATATATAATCCAGTGAATCGCGAAACCCATTATTGGTGGTCAGAGTTTTTTTTTTTTAATAAAAAGTTTTGTTCATCTTATGTAAACATCTGCGGAAACATTACAATAGATGAATTTGCATTAACGAACTGTAGTAATGACGGGAAGTATTACTCATTTATTTAATTTTACACCTACTACACTAACATTACGGCCAACTTTATCAGACAGATAATAATCTACGCGTGAAAAGGCGCGAAAAAGTCCATTTGCACAAACCTGTAATATTATATATTTTAAGTATGTAATTCAAATTTGCATATATAGCGTATAAAAAAAATCATACGCCTAAAAACTCATGAATAATTTGTCGTACATTAATTTCACGTGCGCAAATCTGATATTTTAATATTACTAAAGTAGAATGTATCGTATTAGCATAACGCTTGATAATCAATTGGTGTCATTTTTTTTTACTGATGTGTGTTTACATTATTTTGTTTAGTTACTTGTACTTTTAGTACCAATTTTTTTTTAATAAGGTTTTGATTGCGATTCCATAGCGTTATGAAACGGTTAAATAAGTATTTTTGCTACATTTATTGCATTAGTGTGTCAAATGTGCATTAGCAATAATGATGTTCATATTGATTATATCTGTGTTATCAAATTTCTCT